TTGATATACTTTAGTTAACAAGAACAGTTAGCCAGAAGCAGAACTACAGAAGCCCAAAAGCAAGGCTAGTACATTTAGAGACTTTTCCATAACTATGGACTCGGATGCACTAGGCCATTGTTTCAGTTTTTGGCAGGTGGTGCTATCTGTGTGCTGAGTTTTACAGCCTGAATGGTATTTCCATCATGGAGTCTGGTGTGCTAAGTTCTCAGGGTCTGTTAAGACTGGTGCCTTGTTATAGCAACAGGCAAATGCTACATTTAGTCAGTCCCAAGAGCTGAGATATGTTCAGAGCAGAGACATGTGCAAATGGAGACCCAACCCATTCTTCTACATTGAGGAAGGGTGACATGTGGAGCTGTGCTGGGTAGAATTCATGTACATACTTAGAGCTCATACCACTCTCCACTTTCACGGAGTCCTCTAATGTCCAAATGGAAAGGGAATGTCCATCTTCATTTGTCACTGAAGCACGCGTTTCCCTCTAATAGGACACGAGGGTAGCAGTGTGCTGGTGGGGATTCCTTTCACAGTCTTGGCTACATTCTTATTGTTTAATTTGAGGCAAGTGGGACTCCATTTACTTACGTCAATGTAATGCTTCATGGGTGTCTGTTAAATGAGGAAATATGTGTGATGTGCCTGGCCTACAGTATGCATTTAATGAATGTGATTTATCTGCTCAGTCACAAGAACACTATACCCCAGGCTGTCTGTCTCTAAAACCGGGGTCTTAAGCATTTGGGATATGTCAGAACATGAGATTTGCTCCTATTATGGGACTGAGTTCTTTTGTGCACTAACGCTTTGTAACATTTCTGGTATCTTTCAGCTTCTTTGTAATCGTTATATTTCAAATGTTTTACTTGCTTCTAGTCCTAGAAAGCATGGGATCTATCTATCTATCTATCTATCTATCTATCTATCTATCTATCTATCTATCATCTATCTATCTTTGAAACCAGGTCTTACTGTTTTGTCTAGGTGGGGAATTGAACTGCTGTATTCAAGTAATTCTCCCTCCTCAGCCTCCAGATAGCTAGGGCTACAAGTATAGTTACTGTCCATGATTTTAATTGTGTTCTTTGATATTCCTTTTAGACATAGTGGCTTCATATTTGTTGACCTTCATTCCTTGACTCCTGTCCTTAAAACCCAAAGTCTATACACTTGATTGATGGCTATACTTACAAATATCAATCTGAGTATTCTTTATAGTCTTGAAGTGAATTTTAAAGTTTTCTTTGGTAGGTTTCAGTTCCACTGACTTTAGTTTTAGGAAATAAGTGTCACATAAGTCCTTATTATTCTCCTTCCCTTTGAGTAGCAGACATTATTGCACGAGACTTTTGAAATTATGAGATAATTGCAACATGTAACCATGTAACTTATGAACTTAACTCTATGCTTGAAGGAAATGGGAGCAAGGAAAGGTCACAGGCATGTCTACTGTAGGAAATTGGCAATGCCACCTGTCCTTTATCAATGAGCACATGCTTAGAGTGTTGGTGATCCAAGACATGCATCTACTTCTGTGTGTATGCTCCTATCTTACTGATATGCAATCATTCTGTTCCTTGTGTAGCTTGCACTGTGAACATCTCCATCATCCCACTGTGAGGATTGCTTTTACTAGAGTTTTGTGAGGAGAGGAGCTCATGTAGCCTATGTTGGTTTCATACTCACTATGTAGCCCCTGAACTTCATGCCTCCAAGTGTTAGGAGTACGGGCATATCTCACAAGACCCGGTAGTTCTTATATTTTAATGGTATGGTTACATGAAGACACAAATAGAAAATTCTGTGCCTGAGGTCATATGACAAGACACTGTCAAAGCAAAGTGTGATAAGGATGTTGCAAGAGATGATCTTCAGACAATTTGCACAGTGTGTAGATGAAACAAATGAATTTTGTGTTTAGGTTTGGGCCTATCCCCAGGGCATCTCATTATGTATATACAAATCTTCTAATGTCTTAAAAAAGTAAGCTCTTTTGGATAATTGAGATAAAACTCAAATATATCTACATGTACACAGAATATAGCAACTAAATATAAGCTAATTTCATTTGTGACCGTATTAAAGAACAAGCCATTTATTCCAATAAGTAAAAATAGGCTATTTGATTTATTGAGATAATATTCATATATATATGTATATATATAATATTTTGTGCAACATCAGGAATTTTCAAATGTAATTTTGCTTCATGATTTAATATCCTGAATAAAGTTATTGTATTTTATTTGAAATTAAAGTAACTAGTAAAATTCTATAAAATTAAAAACAAGCAAGTATCAGAAATGCACAATGATGTGTAAATATTTTTATGTTGTGGTCTTGACAAAGTTGGGCAATGAGAAAATAGTTTATTGAATTTTGGCTCTGCTGATAACTTCACGGGCTTAAGCCACACTTTTTTTTCTATTGGAAGTGTTTATTCATGTTCATAGTTCCCATTGCATGTGTCCCTCCACCCCCCATTTCATGGCGTTGGGGGGACAGAATCCTGGTACTTACATAGGCTTGGCAAGTACTCTCCCATCAAACTATCTTCCTGATTCCCATCCTAGACACTTCCCCTGACATACAGACTACTGTATCCAATTGACTCCTATACATGCATCAACATGTGTTGTCCCAGCGGAAGGCAAACTGAATAAATTGAATTGCAACGTTAAAGCTGAATGCTTAACTTCTCTATGTTCCCAGCCTCTTTGACTCTCTCTGTACCCAACTCTACCCTATGCCAGCCTTATGTCTCTGGTGTTCTGTCCTTCAGCAAGTGACAGTGCTATTTTTTGTACAACACAGACACATGGTTAGGTAGAGGCATGACCTTTCTATGTCCTGCTTTGACACATGCAACACTTCCAATTCATAACTGCCCTTTAAATTAGGTTACATTTCTTGTTCTGATAGTAGGTAGCTTGGCTAGAGCTGCCTTAGCCTACCAACCAGATTATAGCAACAGACACTCTGCTTCTGCATTGTTTCCTCTCATTTTTATGGTTCAGGATGCTTGAGGTGAATGTAGGAATGCTAGTCCTGGTATTACGATATTTAATAGGGTCCTTTTGTCTTGGGGATAAGTTACAAATTCCTTGATAAAGTTTTCAAAGACCCATCCAACTTTGTGTTGTTTTTCTCTCTTAAAAAAAATCCCAAACTAGGACAGCTGGAACTCACCAGTTGAGTACTTGCCTTATGGGCAGGGACCCTCGGTTTAGTCATCAATGCTCTCCTCCCTAAACTCCCCCAAATCCAACCCAACTCAAACTGAAACAAAGCACAAAAATACTTGGTTGTATCAATCACTCTCAAGGGTAGGCTCCAAACTTAGGAGTAATTAGCCAACACAAATAAGATCCTCTCATCCATAACCTTGTCCTGGACCTGAGAGAGGCTAAGTTATATTTGATAAACCCTGTTGAGGAATGTGAAGGCTGATTTTAATTCCATTTCTGGTGGTAATGTGCTTTCAGCTTCTTTCCTTGCTTCCAGTGCATGAAAGAGCAAATACAACAATGGAGACTGTTTCCTCCTTTATTAATTCTAGAGTGTTTATCTTTTACACTTTTATTTTGTCAGAAAAGTATTATCAACTATCCACTGACTTTATAAAAAGATAAAAAATTTAAAAATATATATGCTGCGATTTATTATTCAGAGCAACGATTCTTGGGGTAGAGAGACAGCTCAGGGGATGAGAGCATATGCTGCTCCTCCAGAGTCCCTGAGTACCAGCGTCACACTTGTAACTACAGCTACAGGGAGTGTGATACCTTTTCTCTGGCCCTTTTGGGTACTTGCACCAGACTACTAAGAGGACATTCGATTGCTTCTCTACAATGGAGGTAAGGAAGAGTATGTTTGGAGTTCAGGAGCTCTTTAAGGGGGTATCTTGATATTCCCATGTCCTGTGAGTAAAGTCAATGGGAAGCTATAACCCAATCCAGGCAGGATGATAAACAGTCAAGACCTTCAGGAATGAAGATATAAGTCACTTCTTCAGGAAAAGACACAATATCTGTTGGGGTGCTTGCTGACGATGTGAGAAATACAAAATGGATAGCAGAAGTTGTGAACACCAGCTAAGGCCACATGGCCAGTTCCAGAAATAAGGATTGTAATTGACATCAGTGTTTTTGTCATACCTTGTTAAGAATGTGTTTATACATATAGAGACATGTATTTAGAAGCTATTTGTGTTTTTCCTCCTCTTTGTCTTCATGTAATGTATCATCAATTGAGATACGTGGTGATCAGAAAAGCAGCCAAGCAGTAGTTCCTACCTGTACCAAGGCTGAAACGGAGACCCTGCCTTCCCTATGACTGGAAACTAAATCTCTTATGCGGCCCTTTGCCTCTTCCTTATATACCTTTCTAGCGCTGGGATTAAAGGCGTGAGCGCTGTTACTCTTTTAGACTGCTTCCATCCCATGTAACCCTGGGTGGCCTTCAGTTCACAGAGATTCATTTAAGGAGCCAGGAGACTAGCTCAGTGGTAGAGTGCTAGCCTAGTGTGCATGAGGGGCGGGTTCGATCCCCAGCCCTGCTTTAAAAGAATTCATTCATGTTCATACACACTGCACACACACACACACACACACACACACACACACACACACACACACACACACCTTTAAAAAAAACAACTATTCTTTAGGTAGGTTTTTAAAATTAAAAGTATACATCACTAGGCTTCACATACCAATCCGTTAAAAGTTAGGTGGGGTTGTAATACTAGGGAATTATAAAATGTAGATGAATCTCACTTTACACAAGACCTCCATGAACTTTTAATTTAAAAAGACCATGCATGATGCATGTGCCTGTGATTTAGCACTTGGGTCATTTGTGACCATATACTGAGTTAGAGGCCAGTCTAGGAGACCCTGTCTCAGAAACTCAACAAATAAAAAAATGAAATATAAAATAAAAAGATTAAACGCTATCTGAGAATAGTGGTAACAGATTAAATGTTAACAGACTAAAACTATGATTTCCCAACGATTTTATTGAGGTAACGTTTCCCAATTTATACACACACACACACATAATATATATATGCATATACATATACTCAGGAAAGCTAAACAATGTTCTAAGGCACTTGGAATTGTGCACAGCGAAGAATCCTATTATATTATACTACTACACAGAGTATAATCTTCCACTTTAAATAGCACAAACACCAATATGGAATAAAAAGGTAACACACGATCTTTCGGGTTACAATCGTGGAATACATAGGCTTCGGCGTGTATTCTTGCAGCTCTCATACCCACATACTATAATGTAGCACGGGTTAAGAAACTGTCGTGTTTATCTGGGTATACAGTTCCAGTTATTAACACCCACAGAAAGCAAACCTGGATAAATATTGGGTCACACACTGGAGACTTACCCGGTTAGTCTCGAAATGATCACTATCGCTTTAACCAAAGCTCAAAAGAACAAAAGAACACAGACAGTCTGTTAGGGGAAAACCACTGTTACTTAGGGGGAAAGAGAGAGAGAGTTTCCAGCAGGCATCTAACTGCAGGAATTTTCACAGGGTGCTTTGAATATATAGGCATGTGTCTAAGCCACAGAGGAAATACTAAAGAGTTAGTGCCTATAGTGTAAGCGATGAAGGTGGTTAGACCCTTAGCTCCTGCTAACCCTTCCAAATGCTAGCTAGCACTACAGTGGCAATTTCTCATGGTGGGGATGCTCTCTAAGCAATGTAATGATACAGTCAAAAATCAAATCAGAGCTTTCATTAAGTGAAAAGCTCTGCCCCTCCCCCACCCCCAGGCTGTCGAGTGGCACAAGTATTATTGACATTTTTAATAAACCTCAAAATTGACCTGAGGGTGGATTGGCATCCTGTCTCACTTACTCCTTCAATTCATTCTCTTAAAAAAAAAACTGCTATTAAGAAAGATAAGAATTTCTAAGCCCCATCTGTAGGTTTACACTATAACCACCTTTATTGACTCTGAGCTGTTCTGCTTCAAGGGGGGAAAAAAAAAAGTGTCTTTAGAATTTTATTATTAAAATTGTTAGTGTGGGAGGAATTAATTTTGTCCTTGTAGCTAGCTGCAAGTCATCTAAATATTTTTCAAGACATACTGTTAAATTTCAGTGGTATAAAGAGTATGTTTCTGTGTGGTTAGCACGGGTTGATCGAGGCACACTTGGGGGAATACTCACTTCGTTTCGCATATCCTCGGCTTTGTGGTGTGAACAGTATGAATGCAATCTAGTTAACCCACATTTCTGCCACAATGCCATATTTGCACATCTTATTAGAAAAGCTGAACCATATGGATATGTTTACATGGGGGAATTCAAGCATTTCCATACGAATCAACTGCGTTGTCTATAGGAGGAGAGAAGAATCTTTTGCAGCTCTGTCTACAGTTTTACCAAGGAGAATCTAATGCTGACTTCCAAAGACCATCCGTTTTGTTCGGAGCCAGTGTGTTCCTGTGACCTGCAGTCTTGTTCCCAAGTGACGAACGTTTGCTCCGTGTGTTGCCCTTCCAGAAGTACGTTCGAGTATCAGGCCAGGTCACTGTAAAGGGCAAAGCTGCCTGGCAACCCTCTTTCCTAGAGAACAGGGCAATTTACGCTGCATCTAAGCAGAAGGCTTGAGGTGGGTAGGAGACACGCAAAGCAGTAGAGATGGTATTTGGGGATCTTTCTCCTATGTGTCCTTATTACAGTGGACAGTGGCATTCGTATGCAGGTAAGGGGGGACACTCTTCTGGGCAGGTATGCACATACGTGGGAGGGCTTGTTTTAAATTTTTACTTTTTATTTTTGGTTTTCACAATGTCTGGGAACAATCCTGATGTCAAGTCACTAGGAGCCTGGGATACTGAACATCTTGCAACATGTGGTACATTTCATCACAACAAAGAATTGCCCAGATCCAAATGCCAACAACACCCGCACTGGGAAACATCTATCAACAGCTCTTTGTTCGTAAGCAGCTGTGCTACAGGAGCAACGAGCTAAATGGCATTTCCTGCATTAAAACCCGGCATGGCTAAAACTTGGCAGTAGGTAGGAACAGCAGCCACAGGACTCTCCATTTCTTTGCCCCAAACCTTACAATATGTAAAATGAGATTTGTTCATTTGGGATAAAGCTGTCCACGAAAACAAAAACAAAACAAAACAAAAACAACAACCAACCAAACAAAAACAAAACAAAACAAAAACACAAAGCAACATAATCGTAACAAAAAATAGTTGATCTAGATTACAATTGCTTTCTAGAAGTGCAAACAGTGGTTCAAGCTATGAAACAGGGTTTAAGCTTAACAATTAGAAAAGGTAAACAGGAAACAAAAATGGGAATGGTTTGGGGTTTTCTGCCTTCATCTCCACTCCTTTGGTCGCTGCTGTCTTTGTAGTGGAACCTAGAGTCCCTATTTGGAACTCGGGTTTGAGTTGCCTAGGAATGCACATTCTCTCCGGAAGCTGTTCCCATTAATTTGACAATTGCTTATTTTTCTCACACATATCTTCTAAAGGTTCACTCTGCTTTGTTAAATAAAACATATCACCGGTAAGTAGACAGCAAATCCTAACAGAAATTAATCATTTTAAGGGGCGAAGGGACAATTTGTATACTCGAAGGATGCGAGGGAGGAAATAATGATCTCCAAGTACAGCTTCTTTTACTAGTAATGATAACTGGATACAGTGAGGATGTAGGAATGCATAAACAAATTCCCCATATTGATGAAAATGACATAAATCCATATATCTTATATTAGATTATGTCTGTTTCACCCACACTAAAGAACGTTTATTACTCTAAATCATACTGCTAGGACCATGCACAAATAACATAGGATGGGCTTTTTGAGCAAGAGATGGAGAAAAAGAAAATATTTTAGGGTTCAAATGCAGACATACTGCTATGTGCTATTGTGTTTACAGCTTAGTCTTGGTAGGTTTGTCTGTTGTGTGCTGGTGTGGGGTATATCAGGACATGTGGTGTTAACAGACATTTATTTCTCTCCCAAGTACAAATTACTGCATCTTTTTTTTAAACACCAGCACATCACTGAATTCATTGCAGGAGACAGAGTCTTACAGAGGCCCTAAGGGCTAACAACTCATTTTCAATATTTGGCAACTTTTGAAGAGTGTATTAGACTCTTCTATTTCCTTAAGTCTATTTTCAATTAGATGTCAGAACTTTCTCCCACCACCAGAGACAGATAAGTGACTACCTTTATTTCGCTAATAAGGATGGGAAGAAGAAATGAAAAAGGCAGCTTTTCTGAATAAACCCTAGAACCTGGTCTGCTTGCCTTTTTAGTTAATGGCTGTTCAAATACCCAAGATGGTTCTCTGGATGTTGTAGACTTTAGTTAAGTGGTTTAAGGAATAAACATAAAGGTAAATTACAACTAACACAAAGCCACAAGACATTTCACATGTCTAGGAAATCACCAGTCAAGATGCCTCCACTGAATGCTGTTGTGACCGTTTTTTGGTCACGCTGGTTGGTAATGGCCATGAGGGAGACTTAGTGTTTTCTCACTACCTTATTACCCACAGGGTTTCCCACCTCCATTTAAAAGCCAAGATGGAAATAGCCACTTGATATATTCTACTTCGTCTAGTTCTTTCTTGCCTGGGACCTTCCATGAGTTGGGCTAATTTTCTTTTTCCATCATATCTCGGGAGTCAGGAAAACTCATTCATTTTCTTCATTGGCCTAATGGTACACTTTAGTGAAAGACTGGAATTGTGTTACAACTGCACCCAAAAACCCCTCCAATTTCTGCACACATTTATTTTCTTAGAGAATAGTGGCTTGCTGGTTGGGCTGCAGAAAGGCTGGCAGTGGGCAGGGGCATAATTACAGGGAGAGGGAGACATGCTTTTGCCTTCTGCGGGGATGTCTGGATGGGCTGCTAGTGAAGCTAGGCAGCCTTTACATTTCTTCTGCCTTTAAAAATTAACCACGAAAACGGAGCCTTATTCTGAGAACTACAGTTTGGCTCATGGTATTTTAATTCTTTCCATGACTTACAAAAGAAAAAGAAAAGTAATAGATCATTGTAATGAAGTAATAGGTGGTTCTAATCATTTAAATGTTAGACTGCTGGTAGTTCATTGCATTTTTAAACTTCTCTCTAACTTACCAAATTTTCTGTAAACACATGAGTCAGTAGGAAGGAAAGGGATACGTAGTTCATAAATGTGACAGATAATATCTGGGGGACGGGTTTTCATTTGTGCAGCAGTGGGGATCGGGGGGGGGGGGCTTCAGCCTGAAAGGCAGCTTGTGTTTTGTAGCAGGAGAATATTATTGTGGACAGTAAAAATTGTGCAATTCAGACCATGATGGGGGAAAAAAAAAGAGTGTTCTTCTTAACAACCCAATAGAAACTTCCTATGGCACACACTTTGAAGGACAAACTGGTGTGCATGTCTTGCACTTACAATGTACAGACGCTGTAAAATGTAGGAAAAGAAACATTATCTGCCTCGGCATTTTTCCCTCGACACTGAGATGATAATAAGGTATCGTAAAGGAAAACTGCTTTGCAAGTGATGAGAAAGAAGTTAATTTTTGGGGCTGAATCGAGATGCTGTAAAACAAACAACAACAAAACAAACAAGCCCTCGGCCGAAGACGAACAGCAGAAGGCATTACTCCAAAAGCAAAGTCTGTCTTAGGTCCTTACTGAAATGAACTAGTGTAGGTTGCAGCCTCGCTTTATTAATGCAAACAGCTCAGCGTGGTGAAGGGTACAATGATGCTGGGTACCTCATGAAATGGTCCTCCAGGCTCTTTAGAGTAGGTCAACTGCTGCCAACTACTTCTACTTTTAAATGAAATCATCAGATTTCAAGTGGTTCTTCCAAACACCACAGTGGTGGGACCTACACTTACTCAACTGATTAAACGCTGAGTTGTCAGTAGAGATAGAAAATTACAGGCTTCCACATTCTGAAGCAGAATACTTCACAACCGTCATCATTCCAGATCAGAGAGTAAGACGGACTCCACACAGATTCTGCCTTCTCTTTAGAAAAAAAATAAAGAAATCGCATGCTTTTAATCCAAGGGGCCCAAAACAATTGTTAAAGGACAATGAAATTTAAGGTAGTATTTACAAGGGAGCCCTTCTGGGGTTCTGTGCTGGGGCTCTGGTGCCACAGAGAAGAGCAATTTGAGGGAGGAAGCTTCTCAATGTAAACAAGACTGATTACAGGCTCTCGGGGTGCTGAACTGCATCTGACAGCTTCTCTGGCATGGGGAGTAAAGGCTGTATGGATGGATGTGACCCACAGACTCAGCCTAGAAGGTAAGGGTTCCTTTACATAAGCCAGCAATTTTCTGTGCTCCTTAAAGGGGATTTTGTCAAATCTATGTGCTTGACTTTTCTTCCTTTCTTTCCTTCCTTCTTTCTTTCTTTCTAATAGCAGCAACCTAACTTTTAAAAGAGTTTTAATGCCGCACTCAAAACTACCTGGTACTTTATTATTGTTGTTATTGTTCCCCTTCAGGGCTTGGAGCAAACAGCACACACTTGCATGCTTCTTAAGCTGCAACTCTGGATTTAGTTTTTTAAAAAGGGTGTCACGATTGTCCACATAACCTTCTTCCGATAATGGATGGTTTCCTGACTCTGGAGATAATTAAGACAGGGAACGATCAGGGGAGTTATTTCTAAAGCTTGCAACAGTGCAGGATCACATTGTATCAGACTTTATCTCTGCTACCCTTGTAGCAGGCTCATACATCAGGAAAGCGCGTCCGTCTAAGAAGATAGCGTGTGGGTAGCTGGGTTATTGAAAGCATGCAACACAATGCAAGCAGCCATGCTTCTTAAGAGTTGGTAGAGGCTTCTTGCATTTAACACACGCAAAGATTGGTTTCTGGCAACTGGGTTCACTGGCACAACATGAAAAATATGGTACTACACAGAACCACTTATTGGTGAAACAACAATGTTCTGGAATCAAGTCTTTAAGGAATCCACATTGGTTGAGTAGGTTCCCAAACCCCTTAGTAAGTTCTCAGCTAGCAAATGCCTACTTCAAAAATATACGTATCTTCATTCTTCTTTTCTTCATTAACATAATGAAACAGTCCTTCTCCTTATTTTTAGCTCCCACCCACCCTGTTGGGGTGACCACCAGCAATTCCACACTGTACCATTTGGCTTTCTGGTAGTCGAACTGGCGATTGTCTTCTGCTTGTCTCCTTTGATTACAATTTTTGATGAACAGCTGAGAGAACCAGAGTGCACCTTGTATCAGTGCACATCTGGGCAGCCAGGCTCGCTGCATCTGGCTCTCAGCTTGTTGACCTTGTCTGGGCTGTCCAGGTGAGGAGCATTCTCAACCAAGGTCGGGTCACACGCCCCTTTCACCACAATGAAACGGGAACATACACGTTCAAATCACAGTGCAATGTCGGGGTCTTGGGAAGCAGGGTTTCTTCCAGGGACCATCAGTCTGTATTTCTCAACAGTACCACACTGCATTACGGACGATGGAACCTGGAGAAAGGAACAAAAACTGTGAGTCTCTGGCATAGAAGCATATTCTGCATTTGGTAACATAAATAACTGCAGAAGGCAGCTCTGAATATCACCGACCCAGTTACCATTAAATTGTTGCTGTAACAGAATGCTCTTACGTATGTTATGTTGAGCAGACATGATTCTTATAAGACATCATTGTGCTCAAGGCTCACATTCTAGCCCACATTATGCAGAGGGAGACATGTTTTAAATGGATTTGGCTATACCCAGCCTGCAGATATGAACAGCAAACACAACAATCGCTCTTTTATCATCGTGACAGTGGTAGCTACGGTGGCATGCAGGTATACTTCCAATCCTTGAGTGGTAGAGAAAGGGCGATGAGGAGTTCAAAGTCAACTTTGGCTATACGAAGCCAACCTGGGATACATTAGATGCTGTCTTACAAAACAAAGAACAGAACAAGATAAAAGAAACATCTGGGGAGGAGGATCTGATCTATGCTAAGTTCCCCATCTCCAGAACCTCTAAACCCATTCTACGTACTTAATCAGTACTTGCTAGAAGCATGAAGTTACATTTAGAAAATGATTTAATAACTCTACAGGTAATTTTATGTAACTGAATGGTTCACTCTTAAGACAACAGATTTTAATTTTAAGTATATATACGACTATATGCGAATTCAGCTGACAGAACCTTCCAAAATGCCTTCTAGGAAGGGCCAAATGGCAACGTGAAGAAACTCAGAAGTTTTTGGTGGTTAACAGATTTTAAGTTCTGTTTTATTACTGTTTTCTTGTATGTGGGTGGGTGGGGCTCCCATTCAAATGGAAGTCAGAGAGCTCCCTTTGTTCAGCTGCAGAAACTGAGACACTGGGAAGCTAAGTCCAAGGATGTTGGCTCTAGAGTCTATGATTTTACCTATATTAGAGACCAAGATATGTCCTCAGCTGAGCTTTCATTCAATGGTGGAGCGTTTCTGTTTTCTTCTTGTGACTATCCAGGCAGGAGAGGAAATATTTTAAAGACAGACACTTGTGCTATCAGACTACTGAAACAATAAACCACAAAGAATTATAATTGTCCCAGGAATCCCATGCTGGGTAAGGGCAAAGGCTGAAGCTCTCTGGCTGCATTTGGAGAAGAAACTTGGCTGCCAGAAGAGATTCCACAGTCTTCCCCTAAACTTCTTAGACCACCTTGGAGGACAGACCAGAGCCAAGACAGTGATGGGTAGACTCACACCTTGGCCAATGTTGATCAGTTTTGACCAGAGAGAAGTCCTGGCCTCCCTATCTCCAGCTGGGTCAGCTGCATACCGGGAGCAGAGCTCAGGGAACAAGACAAACACCTTATCCCTTCATGGCCCTGACACAAAAACCATCAGCTTCTCTCTCTCCCAGGCTCAACCTCTCTGGGCACTGCAGAGAAACTCATTTGTTAGCAACTGTCTGGCCTGCATCCACTTTCTCATGGCTTCTGTGCACAAATATTTCACCGAGTCCCTATCTTCAGATACCCTTAGGTTCTTTATCTAAAGGGCAAGTGTAGGTAAAAGAGACACAGGGCATGTAATCTTCCCATCGGTGAGATGAAGAAGGTACCTGAAACACCAATTAGATGACCAAATGAGTCATCCGAGTGGCAGAAAGACAGGTTGCTTCTAAAGCCCAGCATTTTCTGGAGAGAACCCTGATATTAACATCTCCAAACCAGTGAAAAAACTCTTAGAATTTTCTTCTCATCCTGTACACACTATCTGCCCAAGAATCTGGGTAGAAAGTGAATTCCACTGGGTTGCACTGTGACTGTATGGCCCTGCTACCATGGGGGCTGCAGCCTCTCTTCATAGACAACCTCCACCATATGGTAAAACACACACAGACCTATATCTTTGTTTGCTTTGTTTGTTTGTTTTTTGTTTGTTTGAGACAGAGTTTCTCTGTGTAATAGCCTTGGCTGTCCTGGAACTCATTCTGTAGACCAGGTTGGTCTTGAACTCCTAGAGATCTACCTGCCTCTGCCACTCGAATGTTGGGATTAAAGGAGTGTGCCACCACCACCTGGCACAAATCTGTATTTTGCTACAGTGTTCAATTAGTCAAAGATGTTTACACCATGCAAAATTAAGCTTCCTCTATTCAAATTTGGCTGTAGCATTTCATGGTCAGAGGTATTGCAAATGTATTTTTTTTTCTAAGTGGGTTTAGCTTTATCTCTGGAAAACTTCACCTATACAATAGAATAACAGTTTTGGCTTTAATTTCAAGTTGGTGAAGCAATAAACAGATTCCCTTTGCCCTCAGGACAGAAGCTTTTCATCCCCTCTCTTTTTAGGATGTGTCTGATTTTGAAATTATGGACATTTTCTTCTTGAAAAAACAAAACTCTAATGCATACTGTTGAGAGGGAATGAAGCAGGGCTATTTCTTCAAGTCATAGAATTCAAAGAAAAACCCTTCCCAAAGACAGTTCTTCCAGAATTTCATTCTTAAAAACTACTCATTCTCCTATGCACTCTTTCAGGTAATATAAGAATAAAGTTGCTCACAAATGTAAACTCTTCTGTCTCTGTCTCTCGATATTTGATTCATACTGAGATCTTGGATCACGCTCTCCTCCCTTGTTATTTATTTCTGTTTTCCGTGCTGGGGGTTAGACCCAGGGTCCTGTTCATGGACGGTGAGCACGCTACCATTAAGCTGAGACCCATCTTTACTCCCTCTTTCCTTACTGCTATGCCACAAGGACTTCTGTGGCGCACGAAGAGCTCCTAGGCCACAGCTCGCTCGCTCTGGGATGTCACGGCACATGATGGCGGTGCTCCTCTTATTTCCCATACTATACCGGGCTTATACCATCTTACAGCTCCCGGAAAGCCCCTGTCCAGGGATAGGAAAATGGACTATCCAGGAAAGAGAGTAACAACCCAAAAGCCTCCCCACTCTTCTGTGGTGGACCCTCCACAGGGCATGCTGCAGCCCCAAGGACAGTGTCTGCAATGTCACATGTTGAAAAGCCACACCTTTCTAAGCAGCCCAAAGAGTGGTTTCCTTTCTATGTAAATCCAAGAAATGCCAATACCTCAGAACACACATAATGAAATCACTGCTTGGAAAATGTACGTTCCCATGTAATAATCTTAGATGAAAATATTTTAGAAGTTGAGAAAGAAAAAACAGACTTCATAACTATAATAAACTATTATGAGTTTTTGATTCCCTTCACCTGAAATTTAGATAAAAAAACTGTACTGTGGGTATTTAGGCGATATCCTCTTTGTCTACTGGTTATGATAAAAAAAAAAAAAAAACCTCTTGAGATCCGTTTGACTTTGAAAGCTTCAATTCAATGATCCAATGAGTGCATAATAGTACATTTTACTTAATAAGCGAACATTTCATAAGCTAATAAAATTATTCACATGTGAAGATACTCTGCACTCTAAAATGTTATTTTGTGTTAGATTAAATTTATTTTGTAAAAAACGCCATTCTCTCTTGATTATAAATCGAATCTATGTTAAAACCATTAGGAAAAAAAAATACTAGCCAGGTGATAGTGGCGCACGCCTTTAATCCCAACATTTGGGAGGCAGAGGCAGGTGGATTTCTGTGAATCTGAGGCCAGCCTAGTTGACAAAATGAGTTCCAGGACAACAAGGGCTGTTACACAGAGAAACCAAGTCTCAAAAGACAAAATTAAAAAAAAAATACTTCTCAGAAGATTCCAATTATTCATGTCTTACTACTGTAATCCTTTAAAACTTATTTTTAAGTAAAATACAGGTGTTTTTTTTGCAAACTTTGTCATCCCAATTTAGATAATTATTTTCTATTATAGAAATTCCATTGTCTAGAAAAGGGAAGTGGATTCTGTCTGTTTTGTTGGTGTCTTTTGAGTGCAGTGAGTACATAACCAACATCAGACCACTCTTCAAGTATGTTCAACTTTGTGGTTTTGAGCGTTGGGCTGCTGAGCGGGCAACAAAGGGAGGAAATATAGAGTGTAAACAGAGCATCAGAGAATATGCTAGGGAATGCAGGCTACAGCTTGGTCCCTTATCAGCCCCCAGGATGAATTCCTGTGGGGAGTATTTGTCCTCGCCCTTGTTGCAAGGTCCCAGGGGCTTGTGTTTCAATTCCGAAAAGCTCTTTGGAAAATATTGGGAGTAACCAGGAGGATTACGAGAGAACAGATCAAGCCAATTCGTCAACACACACACACACACACACACACACACACACACACACACACACACACGATAGAAGATATTCTGTGATGTGGTCAAAGTGTCGTCCTTTGGTGCTAGGGGTATTTATGATATAAATGCCAGCATATAATTCAAAAATAAAGCGCCAGGCTGGAATCCTCGTTTATTGAAACAGGGTCTCAGGAAGTGGATCCCTTCAGTGTTTCTTTTAAATATCTGTTGTTGACTTGTCTCAAAAAATCCAAAGGTTCGAAAGGCTCGGTGGCAAAAAGTCTCCCTCTCTCCTGTGTGTGACCCAGCTACCAGTTCTCCCCAGAGGTAAGGGGTGTCCTGAGAGTAGTGTCTGGACCTGTGTGTGTGTGTGTGTGTGTGTGTGTGTGTGTGTGTGTGTGTATCTATGTGTGTGTGTATGCGCGCACGTGTGTGTAACAGGTAAGGGACAGAGCTGTCATCAGTACAATGTACCCTGACTCTCAGAGGTTTAGGGTCTGATAGGAAGGCTGGCTTGATGTGGGAGATCAAGTCTGGCATTGACTAGAAGAAAGAAATCTGCCATGTGTCTAGGCTGCATTTACAAGGATGGGTAATGATTCGCAATGCTTATGCCCCATGAGGGGGCTGAGTGCTTAGAATTCTGTGGCTTTTACAGGAACACTTTTCTTCAGCAAAACACACAGCCATATGTTAGCATTATTTTGACTAGAAACAGTAGTGTTTATTAAAACTTTTTTCCTCTTAAAAGAAATACTGACACCAACATGTAAATCACAGCATGATTTTTATATCTCCAAAGCCAAAAACACTTCCCTGCTGGAACGCAACTCTAATGATGTCATATAAATTAATGGAAAAATAGCAGTAGACATTTGCTTTACTGCCAACTCTTAAAGACTACTTGAGCAAGACATGTTTATTTTGGTGGTATGAATATTTAATTTTCCCTTATCTGAAATGACAGCTTAAAGAGTGTTAATCAGTACATTAAAAAATCTTTTTAAGATCATCTCCTTAGCATGAGCTGTTACCACTTCGAAACGTACCTAACCTGAATCTATTAGCATTTATTTAAACAATGACAATATCAATAAGTTATTTAATAAAACACAGGTCTAGCCTGAATTTCTTCAGAGGAGTAAACAGTTGAGGAACCATTTTGAACTTTTGGAGGTGAAAAAAAAATCCCATCCAATATAAAAACGTACTATAATCTTTAATTCAAAGTGTCACTAGCGAAGGCAGGGACAGTCAAAGCTCCTTAGGACATATACGGAACCCAGACATGTGGGTGGACCAGAAGCGAGCTTCCTACTTAGAGGCACAGGGAAAGCTAAGCACTGGTTTCCAAGGGCATAGTTCATGTGTTCTTTTGAATCATACACAGAAAGAGGTGCCCAATGGGTTAAGTTGAATACAATGGTTTTATATTCTTCACTGCCTCCCATACAGCGCAGAAAAAGAAAACCAATGAAATAAAAAAATAGCAACACAGAAAGATTTCAGTGCGAGAGCAAATATTACACAAGAGATCATGAAAAAAGTAAAAAAAGGCTGGCAGCAGGTTGGAAAAAAAAATACCGGGGACTGATATCTCAGGTTTTTACTAATCCGTGTAAAAAAGACAAGCAACCTACAGGAAGATTTATGATGGTTTGCCTACAGAAGTCAAACAGTCTGGAAGAAAAGGGTGCCCAACCATGTGGAAATCAGTGTATTATTTATCCTGTAGACTGTGGACCTTGAGGTCACTCACCCACCCAACTGTGATGAGCATGACTGGGCGTGCAGGGTACTCAGTGCGGGTCAGTAAACTAACGGTTTAAAAGATAACAGACAAATCTTTAGAAAGGTATCAAACACGCGAGCCCAGTGACCCAGGGAATGCAGTCAATAGGGCAACCACAGAAATGCAGCACCTGCTCAGTAGTCGGTACTACATTGTGTGCCATTTACACCACAGTGCCGTATGAGGCAGCTGTGCATGAGGAGTCCGTGCACGCGTGTGTATTATATACGGGCACGTTTGCAAATGCATAGGACACGCAATGACTAGAAGCACACACCTCAACCTCTAACGAGCTCTTACCCGTGAGAATAAAGATGAGGGCAGAAACTGCCTAAAGGAGCAGATTCATTTCCATTGATAAACTTTTGCCCTGTTTGAATGCTTAATTAAAATGCATCATTTTGTATATGAAAGACATTAAAGGAAATGGCCCTGACATCTCCCTGTGGCTAATCTTACTGAATTTGCTTAGAGAACACAATGGAAAGAGGGTCTTTTAGCATAAATACTTCTCGAAGAAATAGAACTACAAAACTTAATCAAATTTAATTAATTAAAACAACAAAATTAGAATTACAAAATGCACTCTTTATTTATTTATTTATTTTTTTGCTTCTTTTCTGCTGCAATTTATTCTCACCGTGGGCTATCAAATGGAGAGAAAGTCACCAGGCCCTGTGATGTAGAGGAAAGTTCTAGAGAAGTCAAAATGACTTGGACGGCCAGGTGGGAGGATCGGAATCAGTACCGCTCAGGGGCCAAGACTCCGCTATACAAACAGATCCTGTTTCCCCAATTTCCTGGAGTCCCCGGGCGGTTCTGTGTCATCGCATACAGCCTGTCTCCTGTTTATGATCAGTGTCCCGGCAGAAGCATAACTTCAGGTGTGACATTTTAACATGACCTTTCTCTGACCGCAGCTGTGGCAGAGAGGGCCCAAGTCCGGCAAGTTATACATCCAAGAGTGGATGGCCACTGGAGAGCCCTCAGAGAGAGAAAGGTGATGTATTCAGGATGTATACTGGCAAACAGAAGCAAGGAGAAAGACACCCTAAGATGAAGGGAGTTCCTCCGCCACAGCAGACCTTCCACCATGAAGAGTGGCTGTGGTAATATGGGCTCAGCACACGCTCCACACCAAGCACTTGCTATGAAATCCTCAAGTTTTACTTGAATGTCCTTTGCCTCGTGTCAAGTTCCCCTATATAAAACAGCACCTTGACTTCTGGGATCCCCTGAATGGCTAGAAGCAGAGTACTTGGCTGCTTAACTGGGGGCTGTTTCTAGATTAGGGCATTGTCAGTGTTTGTGTTCTGAAAGACAGGAAGTCTTGCCTTTTTCATGCATTCATCTGTCCTGGAATTTACTATCAATTCAAGTGTGTGTGTGTGTGTGTGTGTGTGTGTGTGTGTGTGTGTGTGTGTGTGTGTTGCTATATGAGTTTGTGCACGCTGAGGTCATAGGAAACAGGGTTTCTCTCTCATTTAATTTCTGTGCAAAATTGTAGGAACACGCCTGCTATGTAAAGCAAAGCTCCTACATGGATGGGATGTAACTAAAGAGAACAGCTGCCACATCTGGAAAGTGGACAACACGAACACTAGGCTCTCCCCCGTAGTTTCGGTTGTTTGTAAAACCAAAGGGTAGTGGGAAGAAAATCCGCGGCATTACAGTTGTTAAATTTTGAACTATAGGTGCCCATGCGCCAAAGTCCTGCTTCTCAGCTCGGCTGTACTGGGAATTCTGTGTAAATCCTAGTAAGAGACCTTGCGGTCACTAGGGAAACACCTCTGAGGGTGTCTCTGTCTCTTCCTCTACCTCATTCACATTCCTGGGCCACAGCAGGAATGAGCTCTGTCTCCAGGTGTTGCCAGCCTGATGTGTCGCCTCGTCATAGGTCCCAAATCAGCAGAAAGAATCAAACAATCCCTGGAATCTGTGAATTTGTGAGTCTCCCTTTTCAGGTTCCTTATGCCAGAGATTGTTATACAGCAGTGTCTTGGGGAGCCAATCAAAATTTGACTCCCATTGTTAAGATCTAGCTTCTGAAAAATTCAGTCCCTACCCTATGTCTTGTCCTGTGAGCCAGAAGTAATGTCCCCACCCTGCCTGCCACCAGAAGTTTAGAGCCCAGAACTTCTGGCATCAGTGGAGGAGTAGACTATGACAATATTTGCGTTTTGGGCCTCAAACGAAAATTGCAAAGAGAACCATAGTGTAGCCCTTGAGAAGGATTAGCACTTCATTGAAAGAAAAAAAATTAGGACCTCAATGTAGAATTTTGTCTTTCAGCGAGATTAGTTGAGGTGCTTTGAAAAAACGTAACAGAGCCAATAAGGAAAGTCTAGACACTGATAATCTGATCCAGCCATATCTTTAGATCTGCTACCAGGACTCTAGCTTACAAAAAAAAAAAAAAAAAAAAAAAAAAAAAAGCAAAGAAAGACAAATGTGAGGGAAGCAAAAACCTCCATCAGATGATTTCCTGACAAGCCACAGTAAAAATCAAATGACTACATAGCACACCCAACGTGAGTTTTTTGTCTCAAGTAGTCTGTCTACCCACCTTGTGAACTGTCGACTCTCTTCATGAACTTCCATTTCCGTGCTTTTAAACTCGTTTAGCTCTTTCCTTATTGCTGCCTACATAGGAGAAAATGAAGCAGAATTTAGGTCACGTACTTTCCCAACATATACAGCACTCACGAGGTAGATGTTACTCGATGACACAGTATTTTGGGGGTGGAGGCAAGGAAAGAATTACTTATTTCTTCCGAATTGAGATTTAATAATTGAAATCTATTACAGTCTTCACACCCATGGCGTACAAATCTGAAGTTAGAAGGTCTTCAAAACCTGAAATTTTCTGAGTTTCAGTGTGAGTCACAAGAGGAAGATTCCTATGATGGTTGCAAAGTGCAGGTATGATAAAAACGTGTGAAATGACCTTCGGGAGGTGTGTGTGTGTGTGTGTGTGTGTGTGTGTGTGTGTGTGTGTGTGCGTGTGTGCAGTGTGTATGAACATGAATGAATTCTTTTAAAGCAGGGCTGGGGATCGAACCTGCCCCTCATGCACACTAGGCTAGCACTCTACCACTGAGCTAGTCTCCTGGCTCCTTAAATGAATTCTCACCTCCTTCAGCTGTCTCCTTTCATTATGTCCTTGCAAATATTCCAAATTCTAGAAATACCCCTAACCCATAAACAGCTTTGGTCGCAAGCTCTTCAGGGGAAGGGCAGTCAGGGGGAAGCCAAATTGAAGCTAGGTGGGGGGCTCCCTAAGAGAGCCCTTGATGGGGAGGGCGCCAGTCGGGTCTAGAATGTGTGCCATAGAGAATATCCCTCCACCCTCCGGTGACCACAGCAAATGCAAGGCTTGGGGTTTTTTTTTTTTGCAGAGACTTCATATCCTGCTCCTAGGAAAGTTTTCCATTGAAACCCGCTCACTGGCCCGCCCACAGCCACACAGCTTTAACTAGCTGGCGCAGGGTTGCCAAGAAGGCAATTGCTATTTATTTTTTCATGTTGAAAGTTTAGACAAATGGCTGAAAATTCAGCACAGCATTTAAAGCCGCTCAGAAGAACATCAAATAGGAGGCCTTATTTAAGGAACACATAATCCATGCCATGTACAACAAAATGCTTCTGCATGGAAAGCTGAGACGCCCCTCCAAATGCTAACTTTGGCTGTCTGTTAATAGACAGTGGCGGGATTATGCATGGGTCTAGTTTCAATCTTTGCCTTATTTTTATTTCCTACTTTCTTTCTACAAAGGGTATTTCACTCATATAAAAAGTACTAAAAAAAAAAAAATCTTTATAAGCTCTATGTAGATTACAGTATTCAGACCAAACACAGAACATTATAAATATCTTTTACTCAACGAATGCTTTCCTTCATTGAAAAGGAAAAGTCGGAATAGAACACCCTTATGGCATCCCTTTAGCACAGGAAGTGGATAGAAGGATAGAAGAACCTACTGTGTGGTCGGAGGTCAATGAACTTCAGAGAAAAGGGAAATGATAGGAGAAAGTCCTGAGACCTCTTCATGGCTCTCTCCCATCACTCACCGTCACTCTACAGTTCACAGGCTTCCTTCTAAGTATATTTTAATGTGATAATTAAGTCCTGTTGTCACAGACTGTCTTTTTTCCCCAGATATATTCTTTGGGTCAGGAAGTCTCTTTGGGGGGGGGGGACCTGGATTGGCGAACAGTAGTCATAATTCTTATTACAAACTTTTGGAGGTGCCAAAGCAAGCAGAGACATGCTTGTGGGCCTGTGTCCCCCATGACACAGTTAAGCAGCATGTTTCACAAGACACAACAATGTGGATTTGGTTTTGGTCATTGTTAACAACTGGCGTTGGATCCAGGAGCTGGATGGTTGCTCGTAAATGCTCCCCCTACTGCGGAAACAAGGCTTTCAGTGAGAATACGAGCAGAGAATTCCATCTCTGTGTTCATTTAGACTCTTTTTCTCTCCACAAAAGGTTTCAGCAGAGGTTGTGCAAAGCACTTTAGCTAGACTCAGAAGACATGGGCATTGGTCTTGGCGATGTTCCCCACGGCAGTGGGATGCTCACAGAGGAAGTTTCCCCTCAATTTTCAGCTTCCCTATTGCTATGGTCTGGAAAACTGTTATCCAAAGTTCCGTGTGCTAAGGGCCATTGTCCAGGGAGGTATTATTAGAGGTGGGGCCTCAAGAGACACGTCCTTAGGTCATTTGGGGCATGCTCCTGGAGAGATTATGGAACTATGGACGACCTTCTCTTTGCTCTTTTGACTCATGATGCAAGTGGCTTGATTCCCCATATACGTTCCACTCCAACTGTATGATATCCACACTAGACACCCATTACTTAGGCCTTACTTAGCTCTTCATTGCTTAAACCCTTATGTGAATTTTTTTCTATGTATACGTTAATTATTTTAGGCATTTTTTTTTTAAGTAACAGAAAGCCAGCTGATATAGCTACCTAGAAAATAGGGATGAAAATTCATGATAATTAAGAATATTAGTTCAAAGTGTATTTAAAAAAATATGCTGGATGCAGTAGAGTTACCAATAAAGTATCATGCAGTTTTCAAAAAAAGGACATTTGGGCTACCATTATTTCATTTTTATCATAGAAAATTCACTGGAATGCAAGAGGACTCTGTTGAAGGAGAGCCAAATATAAGTAGGATAAAGGACTTCGTAGTGATAGAGGCTGACTACCAGTTGAAGAGTCTGGCAAAATCCAGGAAAAACATTCAGAGAGAAACACTTGGGATACGGAGTTTACAAATTAGAACAACTCCAAACTGTGTCCCACCCCACACAATATTTACATTAATAAAATTTATACCTCTCTAGTTCCCGTATCCTTTCATGCACACTGCTTTCCTCAGAGGGCCAGTTAGACACTCAGGGACACACCCTACACTCTCCTCTGCAATGCCCCTTTGTCACCATTCCGTGGTCTGTTTCTTCAGCTTCGACTCTGGGTAAACCCTGTCACGACGCTGGGAAATACAGGAGATCTGTCGCTTTACTAAGGTGAGCTTCTTCCTGGCCCAACGACATTGGCTTCTTGGAAGCCAGCTGCTATATAAAACATACTTGACTGCCCCGGGCAAGCTGTAGTATGAGAAACCCCAAGGCAAAGGAAGACTTCAGAGGAAGAGATGCCGTGTAGACAGGGGTCAAAGAGCAGGAGAGCACACACACAGTCATGAAGAAACTACTTTGGAAGTTGGTTCTTAAGGCTTGGCATCTCACTAATGCCTTGAGGGCCTGAAGCAAACCACTGGACACACGCATCCTAGAATTACTACCTTGCAAACTTGTAAGCTCAATGAATCACTGATTTAAGCTTTTAAGCCAGTAGCTTTGGGCTGGCTTGTTACAAGGCAGCTCATAACCTAAACAGTATTCTAAGATGAAACAGAGGCCTAGAGGGGTCTTGTGATCTACTGGTTATCAAACATGCTTAAGTGATTATGTTGAAGTCACCAATAAGCCTACAAGTCCCATATACATCCAATAAAATGGGCTTTTGGGCCCTACTAATCCAGATAACTCCCTTATTTTCCTGTGTGTACTGGTTTGCATTTAGAAGGGACAAGTCAGTTGTATGCAATGATATGGTAACACATATAATACTGCAGGGAAGGCATATTTGTCTGACTATGGGGACAGTATTCACTTTCAAAATCTACTCAGTAAGGATGTACTTGTAGTCGTTTAACAGTTACTACTTTAGGTAAGAAGAAGAGTTCTTAGGGGTTCAAAGGAAGAAAAAGGAGACCTTTTATGCTGGCCAGGTCAATATAAACATAGCTTTTGCGCTCTCTCTCTCTGGCTCTGTCTCTGTCTCTCTCTCTCTTTTCTCCAGATGAGATTAGATTTTAGTCTTAATACTCTCCGTCTACGTGTAACGGGCTGGTTTTGTTGAAAGACAAAAAGATGTTTGGAGCCAGTGGTACTGGCTTGGACCACCGTAGGGAAGCATTCAACTGGAATTAATCTCTAAGAAAGCAGAGGCGGCAACAACCCCAAATGCCAGGGGGATGCACTGAGGCCACATGTAGAGTGGTGTTTGGCATCATGGGAAGTAAACACAGGACATAAAAACGACTAAAACCAAGTTTAAGTTTGGCTAGTTGTGAGCGGCCACATACACTTCCCGTCTGACCAGCCCCAGTCAGTTCGAGGACACTTCTTGGCAAGAAGCAACAGGCAATTTATTGAAAAAAAAAAAAAATATGGCTCTTGCAACTATCTCAAACATTACAGCATGGGTTGTGAGTGAAGAATTAGCTAGAGTTTCCACTTGATATCTTTTGTTTATTTCTTCGCTAAAATGCTGGTATCAAAGAGTGGATTGCTCGCTGACTCGATAAGCTCAGTACCATGGGGAGTGTGCACTCCATGAGTCAACTGATGACATTCTACAGGGAATTAAAATCTCAGTCTTCGCCGGGAGCTGGCTAGACAGTGCACTCCTGGAAAGGCAGTATTCACCATCATAGCCATGTATCTGGGATGTTGTTTAGAGCATCAGTAAGTGCGGCAGATCCATGCATCCCTGGAAGAGTCTGTATTCTGGGTCACTCTACATTTTTTAAAAAGAACTTTTCTCAAAGCGTATATTCACATCTCCCTCAGTACATCTTTGAGTGCCTTGCCTGAACCTCCCAGGAATTTACAGTTTCTTCACTCAGCACCCCATGTCCTTCCTAGGGCTGTCTCTAGCTCTCGGTGACAAGGCTCTTCACAGCTTGCACAAGGGCGTCCTTGTCAATGCCAGACCTCTTCAGCGGCTCACTGGAAATGTTTAAGCTGAGACCCTCATCAGTGTTTTAAGTTTCAGTCCACGTGTGTAGTCATGGGGTAAAAATCACTTTGGGGTCCTAAATAACATTTGAATTCAATTTTTTTTTTTAAAAAAAAAAAAAGGTAGGCTTTCAGCAATTTTTGCTTTCCCTAATTTATTATTTTTCTTTTAAATTGGGGCATAGAGATCAAAACTTAAAAATAAAACGAACTTAGAGCTGCGGTTGTTTGTTTATTTTTGCGAACATGTGCATGTCCGTGTGTTTGTGTAGGTTTTTTTTTACTTTGCTTTAATTTTCTGATCATTGGTGTTTTGCCTGCATGTGTGTCCATGCAAGGGTATCAGATCCCCTAGAGTTGGGGTTATAAACAGTTGTAAGTTGCCATGTGGGTGCTGGGAATTGAACCCTGGGCTTTTGGAAGAGCAGCCAGTGCTCTTAACAGTGGAGCCATCTCTTCAGTCCCCTCACAACCTAATTCTGAACATAACAGCTAAGTCATAATTACTGAATTTTATATCAATTAAATTAATGAATCAAATGCATTATTTAGACTCTGATCAATAGGTGTTATGAAGTGTTTTAAGGTAAAAGTATTAAAAAGCCATTTTTTTTTTTTTGGCTACAATGACAATTAGCATGTTATTTTCATTCTTAAATAAAATGCTTTTAGCGTGTGGGCCAAATTTCTTTATATGTGTGTGTGTGTATGTGTGTGTGTGTGTGTGTGTGTGTGTGTGCACGTGTGAGCGCTTGTGAGCTTGCCACCCTGCACTTGATCATGAGAACCCATGCGCTCATTGGCCATGCATGGAAACTCAATGTTGCTTCAGGATGTTTTCCTCAACTACCGTTCACATCATTTCTTGAAACAGTGTACCTAAGTGACCCTGGAACTTCACTGTTTCAGCTACAGTGTCTGGCTCAGCGCTGGGACTATGGGTATGTAAACCTCACATGGAATTCTAGGATACAAACTGGATTATACTTGCTGAGCAGCACTGTCTGTCTATAGAACCATCTACCTAGCCCCGGCATATGCGCATTTTAATGACGGTGTGAAATTACTTAATTTTTCTCAGTGTTATGTAGAGAATAGTAGTTTTAGACATTTATAAAAATGCCATGTATTGATCTGAATTCCAGTTGTTTATTTTTCCTGTTTTCCATTCTGGATATTCAGCTGTTTGACAACAAACAAACACCACTTGACTGTAAAAAAACATACTACTCACAAACCGATCACTTGCATGTACAAAAACACGCTACATATAAACAGCATTTTCAATTTTTGCATTTTTCTGTTTTCTACCTTTTACCTTTAAAAGTATGTATTTTTCCCCCGTCTTAAACAAATCCTTACTTTTGGAAAACACACTCTTCTCCTAGGGAACACAGACAACAATAAAAACACAGCCCTAGAAGTCTTGTCCTTTAGACCTTAACAATCTTGGATAATTGTGTGAGATCTCTGTGGTAGAAAGCCAGTCACCCCTGTAAGTCAGGAGGTACCCTGGCTCTGCCCTGGGGCTCAGGTGCCATGTTCAAGGGACATAGGAGACTTCTGTGTCCCCAGGCTATTCCAGAACAGAACCAGGCTTGCAGAAGAAAACCTGACCAGGCCCAACTCTCTCATGTTTAACAAGCCTAAAACAAAAGCCTATCTTTATCTCAGTTCAAAATGTTCTTAAAAGAGCAAAAAAGGTCTCTGCCCGCCATAGCTGGAGATGGATGAGCTCTGCCTCCTACCACAGGACAGAAGAAAGGAGCAGCTCTCACAGGGGGTGGGAAATTGAGTTTGCATGTAAGGGCGGTTAGTTATGCAGACTGTCACTTGTGCACCGTGGAGGATTTTACTGTTTATCTGGCCTTTCTAAAGGTTGGCATTTGAATAATCAGGTGGTTGGTAATGGATGTGACAAATAACATTCTACTAAAATAACACCTTCGGTCTACCCAGTATGACCTCACAGCTCTCCTAAGAAGAGCTACCTGTCTGCTTCCCCTTGGTTTTGAGCTGGCCCCTGACTTCCTAGAACTAACAGAATGAGGCAGACAGAAAGCTTGAGTGACTTCTATAGTCAGACTTCCTTCGCTTTGGGCCACCGGCTCACAATTATGCAAGCTCGGCCTATAGCTTAGGTTTGCTCCTAACTAGCGCTTACAACTTGAATTAACCCGGTTATATTAACCTACATTCTGCCCTGTGGCATCAACTTCCTCCCATCTTGCACCTCCTGTCCCCTCTCCCTGACTCCTGGCATCTCTCATGCCACTAGATTGCCCTTCGAAGACTTTTCCTTTCTCTCCCCAGAATCCCCCACCTACACCTCCTGCCTAAGCTGTTGACCGTTCAACCTTTTGCTCCACCAATCACAGCAAGGCATCTTCACACAGTGTACAAACATCCCACAACAGACTTGTAAAGATGATTGGAAAAGCCAAGCTGCTTTTCTTGGGCTTTCTGGGGACAGACACCTGCTGTGAGGAAAGCCAGCCTAGGGAAGAGGCCATGCGCAGGAAGGTCTGTGAACAGCCCCGCTGAGCCATGGCAACCAAGATCCAAGACGTGTTGGAGAGTCAGCCCTGCACCTCTCAGAGGGGCCCAGTCACACGGAAAGCAGAAATGCCCAAATGATGCTTGAATATACGCTAACCTATGAAATCCATAAGATACGCTGACGCTCTCTGTGTGTCCTCACTAAGCTCAGGGTAGCTCAGTGCATGGGGACGGTGGCGGCCGCAGTGTCATCCAGAAGACACTGACTGAGGGAAGAGTGATGAAGCCCACGCTGAAAGGGGAGTGCCTGGAGTGGATTTATTTCCTGCAATACAGCGCCCTTGGTGCCTTGATTAACCCTCCCACTGAGAATAATTAAAACGATAACAAATGTATCGAATGCTTGGTAAGAGAGCAGAAACTTCTATTTTGGGCTGGGGGGGGATGACAAATAAAGAGGGGGGGGGCCCAGAAAAGGACAGAGCTGAAATGCCTTTGACGAGAGGACACTGGCATTAAGTCTGGTGACTCCGGGCTGCACTGCTGTACCCACAGGGTGACAAAGGGGAGCTTGCAGTTGGAGTCAGCATGGCGGGGGTGGGAATGTAGGCTGAGGATTTTAACCTATAACCCTACTGTCCACATGGTTTGCAGTCTGAATCCACAGTACTAAGGTAACTCATTTTGCTAATACAGTTCAAAATAACATTAAATAAATGGTGCTTTAGAGGAAAAAAATCATTTTTTTTTTAAATTTAGCTTTATTTTGTATGCCTTGTTATGAAGGTGTCAAATCCCCTATAACTGGAGTTACAGATAGTTGTGAGTGTAGGTGTTAGGAATCGAGCCTGGGTCCTCTGGAAGAGCAGCCAGTGCTCTTAACCACTAAGCCATCTCTTCAGTCCCCCCCCCCAAAATTTTATTAAGGTAGAGCTTCATAACAAAGTTTTTATAACAAAACTGTAGTTAATTCTACAAATGTAATGACATCTCACATATGATGGGAAGACTTTTAAAATATTTTTATTTATTGTATGTGTGAGTATAGGGTTCTATGTGTCAGAACACATCCTAGGCATGGAGCCCAGGTCATGAGGCTAGCAAGGCAAGGCAAGTACTTTTACTGTTCAGCCTTCCTTCCGGCCCAGGAAAAATAATCTTAACTCAGAAAGGTATGGTGATAATTTGTTGATGATCTAACAAATAAAGCTTGCCTAAAGATCAGAGTGCAAAGCCAGCCACAGTAGTCAGTCATAGAGGTGGTGGCACACACCTTTAATGCTAGCAGCCACATAAGTTAGCCATAGAGGCCAGACACACACCATTAATCCCAGTACTCGGGAGACAGAGGCAGATTGATCTCTGAGTTCAAGGTCACCTTGGGCTGCATGAAACTGATCCATTAAATACTCAGTTACAGGCATGGTATATATTTATTCAATGCCAGATTTAATGAGAGTAAAAAAATTGATGAACTCACTGTTAGTGAAAAACTTAAAAACAAATGGTCGGTGTTAATCTTGGGCTAAGGAACCTTTCTTGGAAACAACTTAAGGGAAGATTTATTTTAGCTCCCAGTTTCAGAGCTGTAAGTCCTTTAGGGAACAGTTGAGTGGAGACAAGAAGCTCCCATTTCAGTCACTGACAGCAGTAAAGCAGACATCAGATAAGCCTGCCAACTCCAAAGGACATTCCCGACATCAACCTCCAACTAAGCCGTGCCTATTTACTACCTTTCACCAGTGCCCGATAATGCTACGAGTCTGTCAAGGGATTAATTCATTTTTAGATGAGAGACATCTTAATCTGGTTGCCTCTAGGCAATGCCTGAAAACACACACCTGCATGCATGCTTTATAATCTCCTAGGTATTTTGCAATCCAGTCAAGCTGACAGCCAAGACTATCACAACCGGGAAGCCCTCCTCAGCTACGCTTGCATGAGAACAAGTTACACCGCCACTGATGACTAGTTTTCTCTGAGACTCAGCTGAGAGAACCGTGTAGCCTTTACTGCACACGGCCACTCAGGGTTTAGGCTTTCAGAGGGAGAGAGGTGCTAGGATGGCTAAGCAGAGGCTGAGGATGCAGATTCTGGACGCACAAAAGGTCACTGAGGTACTTGCCTTGTCTGCAGGTGTCAGCCTGGCCCAGGGCTTGTCAGCTCGGCGGTCATAGTCGGGAGAATCAGTGACTTCCACGTACTCGTTAAAGCGCAGGATCCTTCGGGCCTGTAGCTCTGCCACACTAGGTCTTAGGCTGAGCTACAGGAGGGTAGGAGGGAAAGTTACACATTTACAGCCTCTAGGTGGCTAGTTGTCTGTCTCAAACACTTCAAAGTTAAGGTCACTTTCAAGTATTAAAAGAAAAGCAACAGCATCTTGGGAATTTGTAATGAGGCCTACAAAGCAGCGTGCCCTCATTTCCAGACTAGGAAATCATCACCGCTAGCTAGGTCAGCCTTTGGCAATCATCTGCAGTGTGCGATCTCCCCACAACATGCCTGGGTCTGAGATTACAGCTTGCCTGTCATCTCTGACACAGGAACACACGGTGACAGAGGCCCTCTCGTAAGTTCTACATGGTGGCGGCTGATGGACCAAGACAGGAGCTATAAACACCTAGAAAATGGCAACGAGTCTCTACTCCCTGCATATGTGGGAATGCAGTGTTCTCTGGGGCAGTGGCTCAGAAAAGGGTGTAGCCACAGTGTAGCCTTCCTGGGGAGGAGGACACAGGCCATCCTCAGCCAGAACAGTTGACAGGCAGATGGAGAAGGCATCCCGGAGGACAGTTCTTACAATCTTTCTCCCATGTCTACTCTTGGGGATTCCTTCTTTAGTATGTTGTCCCATTCAAATTTATTGTTCTGTTTAACCTGGTCAGCCCTGGCGGAGTCTTTGCTTCAGTCTCTTGATCCTTTTACAAGCACCAAGAATAAGACTGGAATAATCCTACACTCGCAAGAAACCCAGACCTTCCTTGGAATGCTTTTGCTATGAGCTCCCCAGCCAACCCTCAACAATGTGAGTCAGGCCACACGCTTGACTGTGGTGTACATTTTAGCTACTCTGCTCTCTTCCAGGAATGAAAGGAATATCTGAGAAACCACTAGAAGGACTTATAATGAAATATAACTTCTGATCGTCCTTTATTTTTCCAAAGGCTATTATTATTTTTAGCCCAGGAGAAAAAAAGTCATGGCTCTGGAATCAGGTTTGTATTTTTGTAAATAAGTGGAAGCGATTGCCTGAGTTCCAGAGATAAGCCATTTGTCAATTTTGCTAACACTGTAGTCAAATTCACTCAATAAATTACCCACCCAGGTCTGCTACAGAACAGTGACCAATCATTAATCATCACAAAATACTTACTTAGTATTTCCAGGACTAAATGGAAAGTGTAAGCATTTTTCAATCTAATTAAAGACATAAAAATATATTAAAATGCTAACGCTGGCCATCAAAATGGAAGATCTGAGTATGAGATTTTCTTCCTCTGCTCCTTTTTGTATTTAAATATTTTTCACTTAAAATACATGTTTTTCATAATCAGTAAACACAATGCACAAATTTGATTTTTCAAATGTAGCATGCAAATAAAACTGTTGTTGATTTTGATGCCTTGGGTCTTATGGTGGCCAATTAGAAACACTCATCCCTAAGCACCCCAGCCACACTTTAAGAGCATGTTTGTATCTGACAAAAATAAGCCATATCCCAGGACACACATGCTTATTAGCAATTATAGCATCATCACCTTCCGGCTGAGTTTCCGCTTGATCTCCATTTTAGCTTCTTGCTCTTCCTCTTCATTCTTTTCTGTTTATTAGGGGAGGCATAAGTTCAGTTACTGGAGAGGATTGTATAACCGGCAAAGTCTACCAGAAACAAGTACCCCATTCTGCCATGTGCTGATTAAACACGCCATCACCTTAGAAATGAATCAGAGCATCCTGCAAAAAGAGTGCCCATTTGCATGTAATACATGTGCATATGTGCAATCGTATCTTTCTCCCTTATGGAACTGGTTGCCTTTCTTCCCTGATTTTAAACCTCATGGTTTCCCGACTTCTATGCCGATACTATTGCTGACCACCTCACGCTCTTAGAAACACAATCTACCAGAATTCAGATAGAAATCTACTTCTGGATCTGATTTTCATGTGAAAAGTCCGAGGCACATTAAAAGAACAAATTAGAACCATCCCATGCACGTCCAAGCTGCTGACTTCCATTCAAACCCAACCAAAATATTTGATCTGTCTTCCTATGTTTCCATAGAAGCAAAGTGTAAGCATTCCTTAGGATTTGGCTTCCAAACCGACGCTCTGAATGGGGTCATGTTGTACTGCGGGTGGAAATTCTTTATTTTCTTGTGACTCTAACTTTCCAAAGTCGTCTCTCCCTCTGGTGCTTCATCAACCGGTACAATTTCACGGTACAATTTCAAATGGGATTGAAAGGAAAAGTTCACATTTTTAAAGAAATAGCCCTTGAGATTTATGGGATGCATATTTGACAAGCTTCTGTCTGTTGCCGCTTTGTATGTCATCTGTGTTAAGTGAGACACTGATTTTACTTCATAGCAAAGTACATGCAACACTTATATATTCCAAAGATTCTACTGAAGAAAGATTGTATTATAGAAGGGATGAACCAAGTCTTCAGAAAAATTCTCTTTTATGAAAGGTTTCATTTTTTAACCCTCCCTTCTCGTGTGTGTGTGTGTGTGTGTGTGTGTGTGTGTGTGTGTGTGTGTGTGTGTGTTATAGGCCTTCAATGTTGTCATCTTGTGCTATACACCTTGGTTTTTAGGACAGTGTTTCTCACTGGGATCCGAGGCTCACTGATTAAACTGTGGTGTCTAGCCAGAGAGCCCTAGGAATCCTCCTGCCTCTGCCACACCAGTACTGAGATGGTAAGAGTGCCCTGCCGGCTTTTTAAGTGGGTGCTTAGGACAGAACTTAGGCCCTCATGCTTCACAGAAAGCAATTCCCCTGACCCCAAAATATACTTATTGTAAACATACTGGTTCCAAGAATAAAAACTCAGTCTTAAAAATCTGTAGCACCTACTGGTATTTGCTCATTAAGCAGGCTGTATTATATTGTGTATTTTTTTCTTTTAGGGACATAATGAAGTTTCTGTTTTCTTCTGAAATACATCTCTTAATTTACACGGGAAAAGATGATCCATGTAGTTATCTATAGTGACATGAACTAATATCACCCTTATACCAGAGAAGCTTCAAGTTCCTGCATCAAATGCATTTGGTTATAACTCAGACTTCTAATTATGAATGAACTGTATGAAAGTCTGATTGCTTCACAGCAACATATGTCTTTCTGCATCCTTAAAGTGTACGCAAAGGGTCAATTACTTAATGTGAATTGAATGAGGCTTGTGAATTGCCTATTATACACATTACACAAATTCCTAACTTGTGAATGTGATTAAAATCGGAGCTTCACAAGGCAAGACCTGTGATGATACAGTTATTTAAAAGAAATAATATAATCCTTAAGGATAATTTCAGTCACTTCTTTCCATATGCCTATCATGCTTCATTTCCTTTTACTTTCTTTTTAAAACGCTACCTTAAAAGATTAGATTTATTAATTTTATTTTATGATTGCTTTTGCCAACATTTACTTTTGCACATCATGTTTGGGCTTGGTGTTCACAAAGGTCAGAAGAGGGCATTGGGTGTTGGACCTGAAGTTGCAGATCGCTGTGAGCTGCCATGTGAGTGATGGGAATTGAACCCAGGTCCTCTGCAAGAGCAGCGAGTGCTCTCAGCTGCTGAGCCACATCTCCAGCCCTCCACCCCCCATGATTCATTCTTAAAGGCATTTTCAAAGATAAAACAAAATCCTAAGGGTCTTCACTACTTACGTAAAATGCCATTTCTTTAAAGGGAATATTAGTTTTACCCCCATTAAGGATGTTGTATAATAAGGTGACAGCCGGTGACGTTTAAGGAAGGAAGAGCAGATAAGGGAGCTTAAGTAAACAGGGTTATGCCATCTGGGAATTCTTCCCTGACACTGGGGACTGGCTTTTAACATTTCCCATGTTTGAAGTGATACTTCTAAAGAGGGTGAAGACGGGGCAGGGGCCAGCATGGGGCAGTCTTTACAGGACCAGGGGAAGTCTTGAAATTAGGACTTAAAAAAAAAAAATCACCGATAAGTTCATGTAGGACACATCTCCTTCCCGTTTGGATGACTCAGAGGACTAACTTTACAACCTGGTGGAAATGGTTTGGGGACACTGGGTGGACGGAAGGGTTTTCATGGGGGAAGTGAGGACTGTTGGCCAGTGTCTTGCATCAGAGGAGGAGGAGAAGGGTGCCACTTCAGAGAGACACAGGGAGGTGTGTGCATAAACACTCCATTAATACACTTGCTTTCCAGGCGGTGGGCACTGCAGGACCCTGCCTGGCTAGCCAGGGTGGCCCCAGCATTGTGTGAATGAGCTGAGAGAAGAAAAGGACAGAACTAGCAACCAGGGTTAACAGTGCCTGTTGAGATGCTGATTTGCGTGAAATGACCTGGGCCCCTCTCATAGGTTCTTGGTGGTTTTGTTTATCTTTTTGCTGCTTTACTTGTCTCCGTGTGGGTGAATTTCTACTTTGTTTTGTGAACATTTACTTGTTTGTTTATTGTGGGTGCGTTCGCGAGCACACAGCCACAGATCAGAGCAAAACTTGTACGAGGAGACTCACGTGGTCCCTGCGGATTGCATGCAAATTGTCACGGTTGGTGCCAGTGTCTTAATCTGCTGAGCCATCTCACTGGCCCCCACGTAGTTATTTTCAACAAACGGAATACATTTATAAACTTTTGGAATACATATATGTTAAAAAACATAAATCAATGGATGGGCGGCATAAGCTAAGGTTCAACAGTAGAAAATAAATGGTAGACACATGTTTAGTTGCTCTCTGTAAAATTTCTTCAATTTTTTTTTGTAGATTTAAACAATTTCACAGTTAATTGTTGAAGAAAAAAGATTTATAACTCAATGGCCTGGGATTTTTTTTTCCCCTCTATGGAAAATACAGCTGGAATGGCCCTCACAGCTACACATGAGAGCAACATTATTCTTTCTCAGTCCTGTTTGGAAAAGATGTCGCATGGATGACTTTTCCTGACCAGCCAGAGGCAGGAAAAGATACTTCTATGTACATTCTCCATTTTAAGGGACTGGTTTGAAAATAAATAATCAAATATAAATGTAATTTACGTGCTATGTAATATAATATGAACTTGTACATATTGTATAGTTTATACATTATACAATATAAATGTAGTTAAAGAAAACCACTCTCACCAACATGGGACATGATGCTAAGACATCGAGTTTGTCCCATGCCCTTACAGAATGGCTACTGGTAATTACTACCATCTCACTAAAGTGGCGGTGGGTTTTGATTAGAGAAGTGTTGAGTGCTTTGTGCTTTGGATCAGTTTCCTAGCCCCAAGAGGTGGTTTACGTGACCTTTGAAATCATATTGTATCATGGACGCTTTTCTGGTGTCTTCATTAAGACACTGTTGCTGCTTTTGAACAAGAACTTGAGATGAACTACTCAAGCAAAAAGAGGAAAGTATGGAAGCGTGGAGAAGCAAGGGTATAGAATGAAGTGCTTGTGGGCTGAGTCCCTGTGCTGCTCAGTGGAAAGAACCCCCACCCCGCCCTGCTTCCCTTGGCCCATGTCAGGGATACAGGAGCCAGTTATCAGCCTCTCCAGACTGGAAAGGGGACCTCCAGTTTCCAGAATCAACACGAACTTAGAAGGAAGTCAAACAGGGCTGAACTCAAGTCTGAAGTTGACTTTGGGGCTGTACTCTTTCCCGAACCTCCAGGAAAACAGAGGCTACAGAAGCCAACGCTGCACTTAAGATCAACATGCAATAAATTTTCAGATCCATGAAAGAGTTCCTCAAATAACTAAACTCCAGTGTGGCTTGGCACATCAGTCCCAAAGGACAGGGTTACCCAGAACTCAAAAGGCCTTTTCGAAGTATTTCATCAGGCATCCAGTAAGACAAACCCCCTGTTCTGTTAGGGCACTCACAGTCTACCTTTGAGCTTAAACGTTAACTCAGCCAGTATGTCCCAGGACCTCCGTCATGGGAAACACTTTGGACACCTCAGGGTTTTGTTTTCACATCAACATTAGATGTTGCTTAGGTTAAAAAGAAAAAGAAAAATGCACCATTCTTTTGTAGCTACGGGTTGCCTTTTGAAGTGGCATTACTGCATATTAGCTGGCACTTTGGTGGGTTCTGTTCAACTTGGCCACAGACTGCGTGCTTGGTTTTCCTTGCACTGGTAAATGTTCATTGTTAAGTCATTTCAGTTATGGTGAAAGTCCTAGAAATCCGCTATGAGAAAACCTTTCTTTCCTTTACAAAAGAAAATAACCCATTAAACCCAGCAGGCTGACTGTACTCTGGTAGTTTGCTTGAAAGGCTGTCCTAATGCCAATGACTTACTGCTATTACAGTCTGCCTGGAGTTCTGAGGGTCCCCGTCTTTTCCCAAACTAAAAGGCTCCTTTGGAACTAGGTTAATATCTACAAGTACAGCTACAACTACACCCTTCTCTTTAAACCACCGAAGCTAGTAACCATTTTGAGGGAGCAGCAGTGTTTCTAGTGGGATCTCTCATACTTCACCGCCAGAAACCAGAATGGAAAAGGGAAGCCGGGAAAAACGAATGGAGGACTCTTTAAGTTTCAAGAAACCGCAAAGAATTCGAGAACGAAGAGGAGCGATCACAACAAAGGAAAATTAAATGCCTTGAAAAATCTCTCTTGCCATAATTTTAAATTGGGACTCATGTTCGACCTAGCAACAAACTGTATTTTTCATAACACTATAGGAATGCTTGATTGATTTCCTTGTGGATTTTTTCTTTGGCAGTTATTTGAAAGTAGATTAGAGCGTTGGCTTTAATATTTGGGCAAAGGAACACATGGAATAAATTTCATTTTTCTCAAAAACAATTGCTATGACCAGGACTCCACTTTAGGGGATATCAGGCTTAAAGCCATAAAATGAAATATGGAAACCAAGAAACTATTTTTTAAAAACATATGAACATCTACCAGTAGATACGACACGCATGAGCCACTGCAGTCAGTTGTGAATCAGGCTTCCCTCCTGATGGATGGGTTGTCTCTGGGGCGCCGTGGTATCGATCACCCGAGGGATCATGGCAGGACATCATATACTCACGTTTTAAGATGTTCCTCTGCTCTAATTCTTCAGTAGTTGGCCTGTGGCTGAGTCTCCTACAATGACAAAATGATATACTACAGGTTACAAAATGAATACACCAAGAGTTACAAATGAGGGCCATTTGGTGGAAGATACAAATGAACCAGCAAAGCTAGACTTTGTCATATGTTGAGAAACAAAAATAAAAATTTAAGCCTATAAAATAAACGTCGCCCTTCCGTCTGAAGACTACCGAGTGCGGCTCAGACTTGTCTCCTCTCCTCCACGCATCCTTGTAAGACAGGCATCTGACTTTTGGTTGGGCAAAGACTACAGATCATAGCTTCCCTAGCTAGGTCTGGGCCGTGCCCGACTTCTTGCCACAGGACACGAGCAGAGTTAGCTTTTGTAAGTTGTTTTTCCTCCTCAATACAGATGAGTGTGTGGTCCCTGCTTTCCTTCTTGCATAGGCTATACTTGAACATGGTAGTATGAGCCAGCTTTAACCTCGCAGATAAGATTCCCCACGGCTGTAAGAAATGTACCAAAAAACAAAAACAAAACCAAAAACCAAAACCAGAAAAAAAAAAAACAAAAAACAAAAAACAAAACAAAACAAAAAAAAAACCCAGAAGGAGTCTGGGTGTTAGGCCTATGAGGAGAAGAGGAGAAACTTTCCATCATGCTGGGTGGCCCCAGCTTCCTCCAGACGCCTGGTAAGAGAAATCAACACACATTGCTTGAACCCGTGTATTCCTGACACGTTACAGAAGCTTAGCTGATAGCTTACTTAATTAATGTCCTCAATCAGCTGCGGTTGCAAAGTTCATGCCACTGTCTCGAGTTGCTCAATCTATACTGCTCAGGGTTTGAAGGGAAATCCTGTATCAGGCACGGCCAGCAAATATATTCCATACATGCTATCTTAAGCTATCCGGGCCCCTTCTCCCCTGCTGTTGAGATAAGCCAGGCTCATCCAGGATTAGAAGTTAACTGTTTTACAAGAGAGCAGGAACTCTGAGGAATTCCTCATAGCTTTGGTCTTGGACTTGTTTACGTGATCAATTTGTTGTCAGCATGATCAATTTGTTATTATTTTGGTGAAGGATTTCCTCAGGATGTAGCCTGAATTTGTGTTACTTATGATGGATATACATATATTTATTAGACACAACCAATTCTAAATCTTAGGACCATAACAAACTAGTTATTTCTCAGATGTCACTGGGATTATTTTGAAACTAAAGTGAGTGAGTCCACAAAAGGCTCCCAGGAGCAATGGCACTTTTGCAGCTAGATTCTGTGCCATGACTACTCCATGTGCTATGTGTGTGTGCTGATGCCTTGCTAGAGCCTGCCACACCCAAGTGTGCTGGCTCTCTCTTACTGAAGGGGTTGTCCTTCCTCTGGAATGCTTTCTTTGCCTTTCCTTCCTTTTAAAATCCTATAGTCGATTAAAATGGGACCTGGAAGGTTGTCTGGCATTATGAGTGGAACTCTCTGGGGTCTTTTTCCCCAGAGGAGAGTATATAGAAGGCTGAACAGCCCTTTCCTTTGGCATTATTAGTACAGAAAACTATGAGACTAACCATGGCCACCGTTGATTCCTGGTTTCAAAATTCTGGTCTTGTGCTAGATGCTTAGTGTGTCAGGGATGCTCAAAAAAAAAAAAAAAAATTCAGCAAGGTAAGGGCCGGCTCTCACCTTGCAGATGAGGAAAGGGAGGTTAACTGACTTGCTTAAACTAAAACATGAGCAAATGTTGGCGTCAGAATCCCCTCCTGTCTCATTTGACTTAAAACTATGTGATCTAAGTTGGAACCGTAGGCAAAACCTTGAGCAAGAGGCATTAAGATGTGCTGTGTTCACTGAAGACAACTCTAACATTTACATATTATTAAGAACAAACCCTACTATATTAAAAAAATTAAAGCTATAGATCATGTGTATACTTACAAAGATACTGCATATTTGATGGGTGGCATTGGAATACTAGTTCATTAAAGATACAGGTGGTACTCCAGATGGATGGTTAGACCTGGAATGGAGAAGTCTTCACCCATTCAAATCTATGTCCACACTTCCTACTCTTCCTGTGGAAGCTGGGGCATCATCCCCAAAGAATCCTCGATGAAACTGATAGAAGACTGATGTTTAGTAACAGGGTTCCACAATTGCTATTTTTTTCTACCTCTTTCTTTCTTCCTTTCTCTCTCTCTTTCTCTCTCTCTCTCTCACTCTCTCTCTCTCTTTTTCTTTAATCTGTGCCCTGGTTTTGTCTACTTGGTTTTTTTTTAATTTGTCATTGCTATAAATAGTTCTATAATACGTATCTTTATAAAAAGTTCTTCAAATAAATCATTGGAGATCATTTCCTTCTTCCATATGTTCCCCATGATAGAATTATTATGTGAAGAGATAGCTTCATAGTTATTTTATCACAGTGTTAAACTGTTTCAAAACTATTGGTCAAGAACACTGTGAACTCAGGTTTAAGTTTTAATTGTGCTTTACTAGTTTAATAAGTGTGTACAGTTTAAGTTAAAAGTAAACATTTCATTTTACTGGATACTTGCTGTGGTCCAAGTAGTAAGAGCTTTCAATATAAGAACTGTTTTATAAGTGGTATCAAGCTGTCTTCTATCCTGTTTTAGATATATTTTTGCCAGAACTTTTTTTTTCGGTTCTAAATAAGGCCACATCCCACACAGTCATTCATTGATTCATTCATGCATGCATGCATGCGCTCATTCATTCATTCATTCTTTCCTTAGATCCTTTATTTGCTGTGCTCAGGATCAAACCCAGTGTGTTCTGTTTGTTAAGCCATCCCTCTGCCACTGGGCTCCACCCTAGCCCAGACACTCTGACAACAACTAGTCCTTCCTCGCTGTTATCACACATACCCTCAAACACCTTCAAAATGTGCCACCAAGGGTCTTTAAGTCCATCTCAGTGGATTAGCCGGGATCTTTCTTTAGCTCACATTGGAAGAGGTAACGTTTGTCTGTTTCCTTTCGTAAAACGGAAACACCACCAATGCTCTGGTTCTAGAAAAGGCACCTACTTTCCTTCAAGCTTCACGCCAGAGGTACATCTGATCAACCTGTCTGATGAGCTTCCCTCACTGATACAAATGTTTACTCTCTTTCCTTTCTAAATCCATCCTATCCATAGCGGTTGTCTGGACAGGAAGTGTTTGGAGCCTCAACTGGTAAACAGTTGGCTATTTTAAAAGGCTGTTGAAAATGCTGTGGCTGCCATCCCTCCAACTCGCTATACTCTCCTGCTCCATGCCCACATCTGCATTACTATGACAGCGTTACCACTATACTGATGTTTATAGATTAACCTCAGATTGCTTTTGAACTTGCAGGAGTTACCTTGTAGTAGTTATATGTTTTTCAGAGTTTTCTACGAATGCAACTAGGAATAATACCAGTATTTTGTTGCTATAGTTTATAGCTTTTTTTTCCATTATAATAACTTTGGCTAGACATTTAGTATTAAAAGAATAGGGAAACTTTATTCATTTAAAAATGATTTTAGGTTTTCTCTAGTTACTAATGTATTTAGCATAATTTATAAAAAAAAAAACCTTTAATTTTGGCTTATCTCAGGCTTTTGTAAGATAATACAGTTTTTACCTAGGTGCTGGGGATGGAGCCTGGGCTCTCATGCTTGTACAACAAAAGTTTTACCAAGTGAGCGATTATTCTGCCACAGTGTTCACAATTTAAAAACCCCTTACTATGATAAACTATCCTAATATTCTTTGCATTTAAGGCATTTACCTTATTTTGCTATCACTTTATATGCATTAATTTTTCAATGGTTAAAAAAAATTTCACAACAGAAACAAAAGCAATAAAATAATAAAACACATTTGTCACATGTTCTCAAGCACGTGGTGTAGAGGACATGGTATAAAAGAAATCCGTCACAGGTGAACAGAGATCCTAACCTGCTTCTGTTATGAAGGAACTGTACAGTTTTCAGATAGTCCCTTCATCTCCCAAGGCCTCAGAGAGGGGCCCTTGCTTCTACTTGTTAAGGACACAAATTTGACACGAAGTTCCCTTAACTTCTGCTGCTCTTTCCTGGGTCAGGAAATGATCCAGGCTTAAGGCAGAAGTCAAAACGCTGCAGTGAGAAGCAGACCCTTGACAAACTGCTCAGGACTTCTTTCGGAGTCCGCGATGAAGTTGCATCTCCTTAGGGAGGTGAGTCTTCCCTTCTGACAGGAGCCACAGCTGCTGTCCTTCAAAGTCTCCCTCTCAGCAGACCTTGGACAGTCCCTGGCAGCCCTGGCATGGACCCCCATTGCAGCGGTCCCCGAAGGCTCCCATTTCTAAGCAAGGGCAGTGCCTTCCTCCCATGTTCACATTCTGAACTGGTTCCCCTCTCCCAGTGAGACACCACGGTGGGTGTGCCGAGTGAGAGAAACCAGCAGAAAACAGTGACACTTGAGTGTGCTTAAGCGAGGATCAGAAACAATTCCTCATGGCAAAAACCAGGAGGTCTACAGTACACAAGAGCAGGAGGGTTGCCCAGTGGCCTACGCAGTCCAAGCTGAAGGCCCGTGTTTGGACCGAGGGCTATGCTTACCTAAAGGCCCGTGTTTGGACCGAGGGCTATACTTACCTGACCAGGACAAAGCTATGCTGGCGATGCTTGGTATTTCTCCAGTCTTGAAGCCCACATGCTGGAACCTCATAGTTTTGACATAAGTCTCAATAAGTTTTCAGCTTAGAACGGAGGCTGGTCATGTTGAGGACTGCAGGCCTGTTTCCCCCAGGCCACCCTTCTTGGTAAATGCATTTTATTGATGCACTCACATGCTCTTTGTGTGTGTTATTTACATCTTCTTTTATGCAATGGCAGGGTTGAATAACTGCAACAGAGACCAGCCAGCCATCAAAGCCTGAGAACTCATAACTGACTTTATTTTTTTTTTTCCTTTTGGAAAAGTCTGTTGAGCCCTGGGCTACATTCTGGCGATCTCAACGCCACTGGCTAACTCACCAAAAGGTTTGGTTGGTTCACCATCTGAGACCACGCTTATAAGACTGGACCGGTCAGGAGAACCAGAACCTGGTGCATTCACCAAGACCCCAGGAAGGCAGGAGACTTGGCGAAGACTACCAGCCCATCCCTGAGGCACTCACACACCAGTAAGTACCTGACCAGCTTGGTCCCGATCTGTTGTCTTATTTCCTGCCTTTCTTCCTCAGATGTTCGCTGCAGGATGTTTTTATCCTCCAGTTCTTTCTTGGATGGTCTGTTACCAAGTTTGATGGCAAGAGTATCCCTTCGTCGTATCTTACTTGCCAAAGCACCTGAGAACCGAAAAAGGGCAGAAATTCAGGTGCATCCGTTTTTTACCCAGGCGGGGCTCTGGTTACACGTGGCAAGCCTTCAGCAGGACCTGAGCCAAATCCTTTACTTGCGTGCAAGAGGAGAAACTTAATCAGTCCAATGAGGGGGGGATTTAAGTTGGAGATAACTCATCTTGAAAAACAACTGAAGGATTTGTATATATATATATATATATATATGTATGTATGTATATATATGAAGGATTTGTATATATATGCATGTATGTATATGTATGCATATATATACATATACATATTTATGCCTGAGATAGCATGAGCAAGCTTGGAAGCATCACCTCATCATCTGGATGGAGATGGTTGAGGTTTATTCTGCTGATTCCGTGGGTCATGGAAATCAGTGATTGCACAATGCCTTTGCTTTTCATTTCAAGTCAAAAGCTTATCCTCGCTTCTTATTCTGTCCAGTTAATCTTTGCCATTCCCTTTTCCCCAGCCAGGTGTCATGCTGGCAGAGATCCTACCCTATATACAAAATGCTCTAACCCTGAGTCACCCACGAATCCTTAAACTCCAAGCAGGCAGTCACTATCAGAAGGATGCTAAGGAAAGGAAATCCAACAAATCTCTACTGAATGATTAATATACTAATGACATTTAATCATATATCAACTCAACCCCACAGTGACTTCCAGTCACTGCGTTCCTCCTAAGTTAAACAACAACAACTTTGTAACAGCACATTCCAGTCTTCTAATTAGACACTGTCATGGCCGTCATTCCTCTTTAGGACCCTTCCTTTCTAGACAGCACCCTATCTGTGTGATGGCGGACAAGTGAGCATTTTAAACTCCAGCAAAGTGTTTGCCGTTCTTGACTCATTTCCCTTGTCTCTCACTTTAAACTACAGTATAAAACGAGTGAAGACTAGCCAGGCATTAATGGCGCACACCTTTAGTCCTAGCACTTGGGAGGCAGAGGCAGGGGGAATCTCTGTGAGTTTGAGGCCAGCCTGGTCTACAGAGCTAGTTCCAGGACAGGCTCCAAAGCAATGCAGAGAAACCCTGTCTCGAACAAACAAACAAACAAAAATGAATGAAGATTTCTAATGCTCTTGGCAAGCCAGGAAACCCCCAATCACCAACACTCTTTCTTCAAGAACAGGTCCCTGGAGGGATGGCCATCTTTGACTTTATGGGGAAAACCTCTGTTCTTAGAAAGCTTAGATTGTATCAGTGTAACTCATTGTCAAGGGTGTCACATGCATATGTAATAACGTCTTCTGGAGAGATCTTTCACATGAGCTAAACTTTGGAACAGTCACACTTTTTTTTTCCCCCAGTACTAGGAATTGAACCCATGGAATTATGCTGTCATCCAAGCCTGTTTTTTCCTTTTTAGCTTGATACATGGTCTCATGAAGTTGCTCAGGCTAGCCCTGAGCTCCCTCTGTACTCAAGGCTTGCTTTGAACTTGTCTTGCTCTAACCTCCCATGTCGCCGGGACTAGAAGGTTGCAACCAGTTTTAGCTAGGATAGATATATTTCTAATTTGAGAGAAGGTGAGGAGAGGAAAATGTTGGGCGGTGGTGGCTAACAAGGTTTTTGCATTGCATAGTAGGTGACTCTCTGGACACCACTTACTCCTCTACTTAGAATTATTCTTACTTTCTCCACTGCCGTCATCATCATCATCCTCTTCCTCATCATCATCAGTGTACAAGATGGGTCCATCCGAGTCAGAGTCATTGGCTTGATACTCTCTTGGGGCCTCATCCTCCGGGGCACTGAAGGATTCTGGAGAGTCTCCCATCTCCCCGGGGTTCAGCAACTGAGATCCAGCCTTTCCAAGCTCATCTTTGGTTGTCAAACTATTAAAGGTCAAAAAGCACAGGGTAATGTGAAGTGCAGAGCAGCCCTTATGGGTACCAATACCACAAAAGGCATGCTGGTGTCGTGAAGGGCCAGATGTAAGGTGGGGCAGCCGATGAACATCACCAACGTGGACGTTCTCGGATGTGTTACTGAAGTGCTGAGGTTTTGTATGTCTCACGTGTGATATCTAACACAGTCAGTGAATGAACATAGTGAAACTGAACTCTGCAAGCCTATTTGCCCACAGATAATGGTGCAGTAGAGAAAAGAGTAGTGGGTTAGGGCTGATGGAGGGATAGTGCACTTAGTAAAGTGTTTGCTGCAGAAGTATGGATACCTGTGCTTTCAAGCCCCAGAACTCACAAGAAAAAAGTAGAGCTCTGGTAGCGCTTGTTTATAACCTCAGTGCTGGGGAAGAAGGGGCCGACCGGCAGATTCCTGGGACTCATTGCAAAGCCATTGGAGCCTATTGAGGGAGCAAGAGAGGCTGATTCTCTAAATAATAAGATGCATGACACCTGAGGCTGGCTTCTGCTTTCCACACATGCATGCACACATGTGCACACAACCCTCCTACACACACACACACACCAGTACTGTGTCAGAAGTTCCACGGTACTTGGGTCTGTCTGCACTTCCTGTTTGTCCTTCAAGTCTAAAGAGAAAGCCTCAGCTGTCCCACAGATGTTTCCAGATCCTTCAGCTGACTTCCTCGTCCCAGGCCTCTGCTCTCACAGTGATCCACTGCAGAGCTCAGCATCCCTGCCTTGTTCTGTGTCTTTGAGAAATAGGATTCAGAGCACGCCTCTTACTAATATTATCATAAATCCCATTTTCTTCCCAGCCTGTGGGACGACTGGGCAAAACTCCTTGATCCTCTCTGCTTTCATTTCTTCATGCATAAGACCGACTCTTACAGGACCAGAGTGACCCCCAAGATGCAAAGTGTTAGACGGAAGCTTTAGAAGAAAGGTAATACGCTGGGGGAGGGGCCATGATGCTTTGTTGTTCAGACGGGTGAAGGCCTCTACAATGCTCACTCATTTCCAAAGACTAATGTAGAAGATACACGGGATGACACAAACATTTACAATTTATATCAAAAATACTGTAATCGTTATCATAATCATTACAGAAGACCTCCCAAACACTTTTGATATAAATAGATGAATTCACAATTGGTGTTTTCACAGGAAAACAAAAACAAAATTGAAACCAACCTCGACGCCAAGACAATCAACAACACACAGGCAAACTTCATTAGACCAAAAGACATTTTTGGTCTAATGTCTAAAGACTAAAACCAATTTGTGGTTATAGTCACATTTTTTTTTTAACTTAGCTCCATTAAAAAAAAAATTTACTTAGAAAGAACCCCACGGTCTAAATTGTTCTCAAAAGGGCAGATGATATCTTCTCTGAGTGTGTGTCTGTAATCGTGGATTCACTAATTGTGAATGTAGTCTTCTGTGACTCTTATTTTTGGAGATAGGGTCTCTCAGTGACCCTGGAACTTAACATTCCAGCTAGACTGACTGGTCAGCAAGCTCCTGGGACCTGCCTCTCCCTCCCCAACACTGTGTCATCACATACGTGCACCTCCATGCCTTGCTTTTACATAGGTGCTGGGACGAGCTTTAAGGTCTCTCTCTCTCTCTTTCTCTCTCTCTCTCTCTCTCTCTCTTTTTAACAACTGCAAACTTCCCATCTTAACAATTTTTCAGGGTACCGTTCTGCGTCATTAGGTACATTCACCTTGCTGAGTAATCATCATCGTACCTCTCCAGAACATTTTCATTTCTTTAAACTGTAGCTCTGCCCCCATCAGCTAATAAGTCCCCTCACCTCCTACCCTCTCAGAAACCACCATCCCTCTTCCCTCTCTGTGTCTAGGATGCGGACTATTTTACAGACCTCATATAAGGATGGTTACACAAACCTCGGGGCTCACTTACTTCACTTAATGCAGTATCAAGGACATCCACATCATAGCAGCGTCAGAATTTCCTTGCTGCTGAGAGCTGGGTGATGTGACATTGTGTGTATATGCTACATTTTGTTTACTCGTCCATCAGCCAATACCCAGTTGGGCTTTTCCTGGTTACTGTATATTAATTGTACATACACTAGTGTACAAATCCACCTCCTCACTTTCAATTCTTTGAACTCTAGGCACAGAAGGAGAGTTGCTGAATTACATGGCAATTCTACATCCACTTTTGGTTTTCTTTTCTTTCTTTTTTTTTTTTTTTTTTTTTTTTTTTTTTTTGAGACAACACAGAATGGAGCGTCATTGTAAATATGGGAAGATTTCTTTTTATGAACAAACTTCTCCATAGTCTAGACTATTAGTTGATTGCTGCAGAAAGCTATTCTACTTTGAGAAGACTGTCACTACCCTACGGTCAATTAATCATAGCCTCTGCATAGAACAGAACAAGGTACTTCAGGGCTCAATCCTGTTAGTTATGCCATTATCCACTAATCTATTACGTTCATTATTTTAATCTTGCCATTGGTATAGCATTTTGCAGTTTGCAGAGTTGGGCAACATTTATTTACAGCTCACAACTATTTAAAACTATAAGGTGGTTAGAGAAGAAAAGGCTGTAAGTAACCCACCCAACCTGGCCAGTGTAGTGTGGGATCAAGACTGAGACCACTAGTCTCCTTACCAAATGTTATATTATATGATTATTATAATTAGTTAATATTAACTACACACCACGTCTGCATTGGTCAGATCACACCTCAACCCTTAGGGTTCTTGGGAACACTGGACAACATTGAACATGACATAAATTTTTATTGAGGGGACTCAACAAGTCATTTTTAAATATGACCGCAAATGGGTTGAGGTTTTTTTTTTTTTTTTCTGCCTCACATTACAGAGATGTCTGTGTTATGGAGAGAGCTGTAAATGAACAAAAACTTACTGAATAGCAGCCTGCAAGATAGGAGGAGAGGTGGGTATTTTTATATACAACCACTAGCACTATTTCAAGTTTTGATATTTGTATCCCAAACAGAAGGCTTTTCATACTATGACAGAGTTTTCACACATTGGTTGACTAAATATAACCAAGGGAAAGTTCTAAGGAAAGCAAGTGAGTGAGAGCCAAAAACTCTAATTTAAGTTCCACTTGAAAAAAGGGAGAATCTGGGAGAAAAATCTGAGACGCTACATTTTCCAGGCTCATTAAGTCAAGGGCAAACACAAACTACCCCTGAACGGGCATTATAATGTCACTTTTTAAATTTTAAAAATATACTAAGAAGAAAACGAGTTCTTCTAGGAAGAGTTACCCTAGCTGATGGGAAAATATATGAAACATGCCCTCAATGTTAAATGGGAGTTACTCCCTTTACTTTCGGCATCTCTAGAAATGGAAAAGTTATGTTTACTTCTTTATTTAAAAATTCTCCGTGTATTTGGGATAACTAAGACATTAAGTTCCTAGTATAAAGTAGTGCCTGGCATAATTAATCTAGTCTCTTAAGTGATCATGGAAATGATCTGGGAAGAGTCAGTTGCCTATGGATATGAGCTCTCTGAACATTTACAGCTACACCAAGTTGCCTTTCTCTTTAGCGTACGGAACAACAGATCCATACACTGCATCCACTCTCTAAAGCTGAGATCTTGCCTCAAACACATACTTCCTGAGCATGCTGGCCAGTATTTTGATTAAAATCAACTATTTGGGACTAGCTTGCTTCGCTCACGCTTATGCCTTGGTGTTCACTGCTTGTGCCCCAGCACAGAACAAACCAACCCCAATTACACCAGGACAAAGAAAAGTTCAGTGCCGAGGGATACTACAATTACAGGAAGGTGTGCTGTGTGTTTGAAGCAGGAAGGACACCGCTGTGAGGGTCTGGATGTGACCCTTGGAATTCAAGTCTGGAGAACTCCATCTTTCACGCATTAGCACCGATAAGCAAAGGCCTCCAGAGGGCAAAGCCATAATGAATAGATCGACTCCATTACAGAAAGGGCTCCTGGGACCATGGTTAGCTGTGTCACTCTCTTCTGTCTGCCACCCTCTGCAGCAAGAACTTCCTCGTTAAATGCTGGTGCTTGATTTAGACTTCTCATCCTCTAGAATTTTAGTCAGTGCACGCGCATTCATTACAAATTACACCCTCTCGGGTAGTCTGTGACAGCATCACCAAACAAACCGATAACGATAGCCTAGCCCAGTAGAGCACGCCTTTAATCCCAGCACTTGGAAGGCAGAGGCAGGCAGATCTGTGAGTTTGAGTTCAGCCTGGTCTCCAGGATAGCCCCGGTAGTACAAAGAAACCATGACTTGGAAAACCAAACCAAACTAAAACAAACAAAACAAACAAACAAACAAAACAACAAACAAACAAACAGACCATATCATTTATCTGAATGTCTTCTGCCTTCTATAGCTTTTACTAAAATGTCAGGCAAAGAGTTTGTAACTTGATATTTATTTATATTTCCTTGCTTTTCCCTCCAGATGCTAAAAATAAGGAAGCAATAAACTGTTAGAGGAAAAACAGAGCAGAACTTGATGCAATTATTTTGGAAGAAAGGAAACAGCTCCAGGCTTGGGGCTTGGTGTAGAGTGCTAGCACTGGCCTTTCATTTGGCCACTGCTAACCTGGTAATGACACTAAGCAAACTATTTGAACTCTCAGTTGCAGGGTTTTAAATTAAAAAAAAAAAAGATTTATAGAGTAGAGATATTCCAGAGAAGATTTACATGAATTAAATAACAGACACTACATAGTCTCCACATTGATCAAGTAATCAATAAATGAAGGGTAATATCAACTGTTAAACAAAATGTCTTAATCAAAGCCAACCTAACAGATTTCCTGAGCATTTTTAAGAGCTTAACACGATGAAAGTTTGGAATGGATTCTAGTAAATGATTCAAAGATTAAAAAATAATTAGAAACAGGAAATAGAATATTCTTCAGATGTGAGTCTTCCCTAGGCAGAATTGATAATTGTGTAATTGACAGTTGCATCATTATATCTCTGCTAGTCTTCCCCACAAACCTATGGGGCAGGAGGTCTAACTCATCTAATTCAATTTTCATAGCATATTTATAGGACTTGTTGAGTGGTATTAGTAAAGGAGGGTAAAGATCCTAATGAGCTCTAGCTTGCAGGACTGGGAAGCTGGACAATAATGGGCAACCAGCCTACAAAGGGCAAGACCAAGTCCCTTGATCCATTTTATTTTGTTATGTTCCTGAAGAAAACTAAGAGGACGTGTCCATGATTGTGTCTTCCTTAGAATCGATAGAATCCATCATCAGAGGCCTTTTGCCTTAAGCTTGTAGGCTGACCTTGGCTCACTTTCTCCCTACCATGTAACAATTCAGTAAACACACTGCCTACAGTGTGTTAGAGTCTATACTGGTTGCTAGGAATACAGAAGTAAATAAGTGATATTGATTAGTTCAACCCTATATATAGGAAAACTTTCCCAAATAAAGTAGTCACTAGCAGCTGTCAACAAGTATCAGAAGACTTCACAGAAGAAATAAGGGTTCAGTGGAAAATTAGGAAGAAAGGAGTCATTCTGCTTTTGGTATGAGTAGATCAGAAGTTTAAAGAGCTCTTTACCGCTGGTCTTAATTTTCTTGGAGAAGAAAGCTAAGCTGTTACGGTGAGATGAAGCTGAGCAAGAATGGATGAATTATCTGGAACCAAATGATGATGGTTTAAAACAAATACCAGAGGAAAAAAAGAAGGATGATGTATAGACAGAAGAAAAGAATGATGAGCCATGCTGATAGAGGTTCTAAACATCCTTGGGGGCCAAAGTAAATTTGTTAGCATCATCACTGTGATTTTCCACACAGCCTAAGGAACCCCACAATTAGGGCTTAGGAAACTCACTGGTGAGACTAGAGGCGTGTTCATCTAACATCCAGCAGGTTTAATACAGGCAGGAGCGGACTACATTCTTTTATTCCAAGAGAATATTCTAGTAGCTTATGATACTTAGCATATAGAATCTGTGTTTCACTCACCCTTCTGCATGTTCTTTGCTACCACCTAAGCCGGCGCCTTTGTCCATCTGCTGACTCGGGTCTGAGGCAGAGACAGGCAGGGGAGGTTCATCACTGACCGGGACCCTGGGACTCTCCAAGGCAGCAGCGCCCTGATCCTCAAGAGGCAGAGGAAGGGCAGGTGGCGAGGACGGCGGTGCCACAGGAGGTGGAGAGGCGGCAGCCTTGGGTTTGCCTGTGGCCTGCGCCTCAGCTCCAGCGGCAGTCTCCTCTCGTTTGAGACTTTCTATGCCGGGGTCTGACAGCTCTCCTTTAAGACTGGACGTGTCAGCAGTGGCAGTGTCTGAGGATGCCTCTGGCTGCTTGCCAACTTTTTTCTTGCCCCTTGTGGTCCCCACTATGCCTGTTTTGCTAGCGGCCGACTCCTTGGACACTTTGGGACGAGAGGAGGTGGAGGCAGCAGATGCTGAGGCAGATGCTTTGGAACCAGCTGTTTTCTTCAGATGAGAAGAGCCAGCTAAAACAGAGAAAGTTCTACATTAGAAATCAAGGAATACAATACTCTTTAAGTGACCAAGACTCAATTGCCAATGACATTTGAGATTTTCCCTTTAAAATACATCTTCAACAAATGTTAAGGAAATCAGTCAATTATGATAATGGTCTTGTTTTCTGTCCCCTCCTAGCCTCTCATGTGAGATGGAAGACGTGACGTTCAGGTAAAACCAAAGGGCAAGAAGCCCCTATTTTTTCTCTCCTCTGTCTTCACCAGACACACCTAAACGGGACAGATGCTCTTTGTCCGCAGTCACTCTTACAGACTCTGAAGAAGAAACTTGGTCCTATGAAGGGACACTACTGGCAGGACACAGATGGGCCATTCCTTGTTTCTTTCTGGGGAGGGAGTAGTGGCCCATATTCAGAAGAATCAGGGTATATATTGCCAGACTCTTTTTTGGGCCACAAGCAAATTAATTCACCCCACTACTTTCCAAGTGGTCAACTCCAAGGCAACCGTTCCCAAAACTCCAGGGAATGAAGGCTGTCCTGTTAGCTCATACTTCCACTGCTGATGTGAGGGGGGAACAGGGGTACAGTCACAGCAGAGGTCCCCCCAAAACATCAGAATGCAAGGGGAAAATGTTTGCTGTGGCTTAAAAAAATAATTACATGGGTAGAATCTGAATAATCTGAAGAACCTCACTCCTAGCATGGCACACATGTGTGTATGCATGTGTGTCTGTCCCTGTGTGTGTCTATGTCTGTGGGGTTCCTTGTGCTCATGCCCGTGAAAGGGTCTTCCTGTGCTACTCAGTTTGGTCTGGAGCTCCTTCTGAGAGGTGGGGACTGTCAGTGCACATCACTTCAATTTTTTCCAGAACTTCCAGTCCCACCACCCTGACCACCTAGTCACTGTTTTACTTTTTAATGTTCTAGGCAGGTCTTCAAAGAACTTCAAGAGCAATACCTTAGCTTATTTCTAGATAGAGCTGTCATTAACTAAGTAATCTCCAGGAAAAAAAGTTAGGTAGCCTTCCTTTTTTTCTTTTAATTACATGCATTTATTTTACTTTTTCCTTATGTCACCCTAGGAAGTCCACTTAAAATCCAACGGGAATACTCATTTGGTTCATGGCCTTTCTGATCTGCATTTTCTCCTAATACCTCTTCTATTACAATGCTACATAGTCTTACTTCCTTGTGCGGGGGTAAAGTTTCTTTCACACAGCTATCAAAAAATGTCCTGTTAATTCTCCAGGGCCAACCCATACTGCACATAGGTATCAGGGACTTACCTCTGGAGGCAACTTTATGGACATCAATGTCAGAATTGAAATGAAGAACAAACAGAGGAACAGACAATGAGACATACAACTTCATTAATTTTGACATGTAAAGAAGCCAGTCTTATTATCTCTGGTTAGTGTAATTACTATTTTAGATGCACACAATAGCTCAGTTTCCCCTTTGCCAAATCTGGGCTTGTCTGTAGACTTAATGAACCTGATAATCTTTCTCTGATTACAAGTTAAACTCATTAACCATACAAAAAAAAAAAAAAAAAAAAAAAAAAAAAACCTAACCCAACTCTTAATTGATCTTTTAAATAACAAAGATATGAAGGGTTCTGTGCTTAAACATGTTCAACTACTTTTTTAGTTATGTTAAACAGACCCTTTCTTCATATCTGTTCTAATGTCAATTTTAACATTTTTGAAAATTTCCATTTTTTTTTTGACAGAAAATCTTTAATGCCATCGCATTTTAAAGAAAGTTGTTTTTTTCAATATCTGCAGTGAAAATTCAAGCCATATGTTTTTTTAGGTTTGAGACCTAACATCCCAGCTTTTTGTTGACAATAAATAGATAAGGGGCCGTGTGTGATCTTTGCTTTTCAAATCTCATCTAACATGAAGGGGCTTTGTTGAGAAAAATCTTGATTAAAAAAGAAATTCCACCTCTGAGTTAAAAATGTTTATTAATAGCAACGATGAGAAAGACAAATATCGTGGCAAAACAAATGACGTTCTAGACTGACAGGTGGTTCAATGGGGCCTCTACATGCAGAGGAAAAAAAAATAGGTGATGGATGTTCACAGAACGTGAGAATGGAAACATGAAGAGCCTCAGGGCAGCCCCCATTTCTCGGTCACAGTCCTAGAAGCAGTCACTTATAGAAAAGGCCCCGCGTCCGTTACACTAATACAACGGATGACAGTTCCTCCAGTTCATAGAGTATATAACACAGGAACATCGTGAGTATATACTAAATCTTCAGGAAAGTATATGCAACTAACTCAAGATCTGTCCCGAGTGCTGTGTCCAGCCTTTGTTCATGACCGACTTTCTTCCCAGGGCCTGAGGTCACACCACCTCAAGGAGGGGCAAGGGAGGAAGTATATGCAAGACAGGATCTTAATTCCCAAGGGCAAAGTGATGGCTTGGGAATTTTCCTTACTTAGTAGCTTGGTGCCTGTCTAACTTCACACACCATTGCTAGGCGTTGCAGGGCCGTGGGGTCATCCAGGCACCAATGAGGAAAGACACTGAGTCCCCAAGGAAATGGTCCTTAGGCATTGTGGCTTATCATTCTGAGCTATTTCACTTCAGAGCGATTAGAAGAGGCCTGTGCACCAGAGATCAAAGCTCGGAAGAGAGCAGTCCAGGGAGAGGGTCTACTTGCATTTTTACATTGCCAGCTAAACTGTTCTTTGAAATTCAGGATGACTAGTATAAATTACAAGAGAAAAAAAAAAAATGAGCAACACCAAGGCAAATCCTTGTAGTTAATTTCTGGAAAGTTGCTGCTAATTTTAAGGGAAAAAAGATTTGGTACATACAAAAGAATTCTTAGGCACACATTAATGGGGAAAAGACATCAATCACGGGAATTTTGATTTGTGTCCTTTTAAAAGTTAGATGACGTAGCCAGCATCTTTATTCCATGAGAAGAATGGAACATGCGCTTTGCTTTCAAGCATGTAAGGTTGAGAAAGATATGAATTTGCAATGCCCATTCATGATTTGTAATGGCAGCATGGAATTGCAACACACTAGGATCTGATGGTCTGCGGGAGTGGACGTGAGGGGGCAGCACTGAGCAAGAAACTCAACCCATCAGAGCAATGGTGAAGTGGAGTAGGGGAAGGGGATGTTGCTGACTATGTATATGAGCCTTTCGTCCTTCATCAGAGGGCAGACAGCTATGCATGTTGAAAACTGAAGACGTTATGTTATGTTCCAGCAAATACGTCAAAGACCCATGTCATATTTTAACACACAAGTCTAGGGCATTTGAAAAGAGGAAGACCAACAAGCCACCCAGAAAGCCCAGATACCCTTTCATGGGGCCAGCCTCACTCCAGGGTACACTAAAGGAATGAGTCTTGCATGCTGATTGTGGAAACCAAGGTTAACAGTTCACAGTTACTCCAAAGACTTAAAGTTAACTCTTCTTGGTAGATAGCTACCATTACCAGTGAGTATCTGAGGCATTCTTGTGACTCGCTGGTATTGGACCCTGAGACCACAGTCCTAGAAAAAGCTACAGATCCCATCCCAGAGCCCGGCATCCTGGGCTCTACCCCGTTATGTACTAGGGCATACTCACCAGCCTCCCGGGTTGTGTTTCGGCTTGTTGGCTTGGGTGGAGGGGTGGGGCCCTGCTTACTGGGAGCCTTGGCATTTTTTCTATTAGGAAGCACTTCATCCCCTTTGTGGCTGGGCCCAGCCGTGGCCCCTTTGGGAGGCACAGCAGATTTTTTGGGTTTAGGTTTGGGTTTAGGCTTAGGAGGAGCTGTAGGAGGTAGAGCAGGAGCAGCTGGTGTTTCAGAGTGGATTTCGGGGTTCTCTACAAATGAGAAAGTGAACAGAGCAGACTGATGCAGACACACACTGTGGAAAAGCAAGGGGCAAGACACGGTGACAGTGATTCATGTAGACAGATGGCTTTATGACATTTGGGAACCAGACAGCGTTTGCACCAGAGGAAGCAAAGTTTCGAGGCAAAACGAAATCTAAAAGACAGACTGGGAAAGGTTCTCTGGGTCCATCAATCACTCTTTTGATAAAAGGGTGACACAAGTTACTATGACGAAGTCACACCAAGGGTCAACGTCAATGTGCACTAGCCATCATCCTTATTCCAGCCTTCACTCCGTTGTTGTTGGATGATGACATGGGCAATGGGCGCTAAATGCAAACGGTTACCAATTTAGCCAAAGTGAAGGGTCCTCAAGAGTGACAGATGAGTGTAGTCCACATACTGCCAAAGTTGCCTTTAAAAATCGCCCCCGATTAACCGGAAGTCTTAGTGTGGCCAAAACAATCATGTATGGTCTGTACTCTGGGAGACTCTGGGGGCTTTTGCCACAATGCATTTGGCAGTAACTTTCTACTATCAGAGTGCCACCTTGTTCTCCCAGAAGGGCAGGGAAGCTTCAGAATCTACAGCTACAGTGACTCCTTCCACCCTGTTAGGTAGACAAAGTGCAGGATAAAAAGTTCAGTTTGTCTTACAAGGCATGCTTCCATAATAGTTTCGAGAAGACAAAGCACGCATTCCACAGAAAGAAATTGTACACAAGAAGAGAAGGCCCCAGGAGAGCTGGTGGACAAACAGAGCTGCTCTGGGGACGCCGAGAGTTGATTATGTCCCCGCGTCTGTATTATTTGCAATTGTGACTGAAATAAATGAAAATACATCTCCAGCCCAAACAGCTAAGTGGTATCTCTTTTTAAAATGGAACACAATGAAAACTAAAGACAGTGTCAACTCAGCCCTTATTAAATAGATCTCTCCGTGTTCGAGTGATCAAGAAGGTCATGGCACATGCCATATTCCATTACCATTTCTTCTGTTTTGTTTCTTATCCTAGCAACCATGAATTGAGGACCCCCTCCTTTAAACCCTATCCTCTGTCAATCAAACCATGTGTCTAGCTGGAATAGTGATTTCAGTTAGAGAAGCTAATCGATGAAAACTGTATGTTTTATTTTTGGTTGTGAGCCTAGCCTTTAATGGCTGAGCCATCTCTCCATCCCAAACCTTTATGTTTTAAAGTGTCCCCTGCCGTGTTGTCCTTGCTCTAGCCATGACCTTCGCCAAGTGTGGCTGTCCAACCTGGCCTCTACTTCTGCTTATATTCAGCCCTCCTGCACCAGCCACTTCACAGCTGTCAGGGGCAACTCTGTAACTCTGCCTTTCTGGTCACCTATCTCCTCTCAACTTAGAGTATTCTTGTAGTGAGATAGTTCTGTGGCACTGACCACGCCCATTGGGGGGTGGAGCCATGGGCGGAAGTGACCTGTGGAAGGAGGTCGGAGGGGGCCAGGAAAGGCTCTCTTTCTGGCGTGACTCGGATAGGAGAGGATCGGGTTGAATTTCCTGGTGTTCATCTGTCTAGGTTGTAAGTTATTTCTCCCTGAATAAACATCTATTCGGCCTATTTGTTTATCCTGATCCTTATTTACCGCGATATATTCTTCTTCAACATGCAGAGCTTCCTCCAACCCACCTGGTATGAATCGGGGTCCAGGTGGCCACAGAACTCCACTAGAACTAAGAAAGATGCAAGGAGACACAAATGTATCGAATGATTATTCAGCACAGTCTTTTGACATAGGGGAGACGTGTATTCTTTTTGTTACTACTGTGTGTGTGTGTGTGTGTGTGTGTGCGTGCGTGCGTGTGTATGTACATATCTCATATGTAAGTGAGTGCACACATGTATAGAGGTCAGAGGCCGATGTCTGCTCAATTGCTCTCAGCCTTACTCTTTTTGGATACAGTCTCTCGTTTAACCCAGAGCTCACATATTGTCTAGGCCAGCTAACTGGTGAGGTCCGGGGATCCCTACCCCATACTACGGTCACAGATGTGAAATATCATACCCGGTTTTATGTGGGTGCTGGGATCCTAATTCAGGTCCTTTGCTTTGTGTGACAAGTACCTTACCTGCTGAGCCACCCCCGGGACGTCTACTCTTTAAACACATCCCTGTTACACAGCCCAGTGATGTCTACTGAAGAGTGCTCATTGGTATACTCGGGGGCTTCGCTTTTTTAAAATATTATAAGTCGAGTGGGACATTTTGGGTCTTTCTGCTTAATGTTTAAGTTGCAGAGCATGTAGTTAGCCCATGTGAGACCCTTGAGTTCTGTTCGGAGCACGCACACACACATAAATAAATACTCCAAAACAGTCCAACTTTGGGCGTGGGAGGGAAAAGGGGGGTTGACTTTCTGACAGTTGAAAGTACCTGTCCTACCAGGGTGGATACACCGCACACAAACTCTAGCACTTCTTTGGAAACCATGAAGCGTTCTTCTTTAGCCTCCCAACTCCACCATGACAGTGGTGTGTAAGTGTCTGCCACACTGGTGATTCCTAAGGGGTGTGTGTGTGTGTGTGTGTGTGTGTGTGTGTGTGTGTGTGTGTATGCGTTCATGTGACTATACAATGAATATGTTTTTCTACCTAAATTAAAATTGCCTTCTGTCTGAAAATTTGTATCAAATCAAATACAATGCCTTAAAAGTCAGGTCTGTTCAATGAATGTGCCTGGCTGACAGTATTGACAATCAGTGGGAGACACCCTTTACTTGGATGTGGGTGGTAATGAATTGGGTTTCATTTTTGACTGTGACATCTGATTGAAAGACTTTGTGCAAATTGATGGTGTGGTAAGGGAACATTGTCATTTTAAGGGTTTGTCATGAGAGAGCTGTCTGTTCAGTCTAGCTTCGGGAGGACATGAGGCTTCACAACAGTAGTCTGGAAAACAAGCTGTCCACTCCACTTCCAGGCTTGGCTCTCTCATCCACATAAAGGGCTGAGGTCAACAGATAGAGCAATCCGGGACTACATGTGTCCTGCACCTGGTCTGGGATGCGTTTCTGATCCAATTCCTCTCTTTTACCTGGCTGTCTCCTTCCCATCTCCTCTAGGGCTTTGTCTGGAAAGATGCTGCATAGAGAAATAACTCTGGTCTCCACTGAGAGTTCCTTGGCTTTGGTACCGTGGCCTGCTCAGAGCTTTGCATCTCATGACTATTTCCTGCTACCCACCTGTTCTCTTCGGGGAGCTGCTTTTGGACAGAGGCCACTCCTTATTCTCTTTGTGGCCTCTGCTAGAGTTTTACTCATACTAGTCTTTCAGCAGTGTTCATGAAACAGCCAAATGCTGATCACTGTTTTTTTTTTTTTCATTAAATAGGCATTTTGTAATCATGCCATGGAAGCAATGTCCAACAACTTTCAGATTTCGTTTCTGTTATACTGGAACAGACTGTAGATCACATTTTGTGTCTCATATATCTAAGGATTTATACTGAGAAAAAAATAATAGGAGACCAGGAGCCTAGAAGACCTTGAGGAAAAAGTTTAGTGAGGCCCAAGGATCCTTCAGAACTCAGTAATAACCACATAGCCTGAACCAAACCCACCCACAAAGCCAGGGTGCTGGATAGCGCCTGACATGTGCTCTGCTTTTGACTATTTTCTTAGAGGCAAAAGTGAATCAGACTTTTTTCTTTTTTTTTTTTTTTTTTGAATTAAAAGGTGTAGGACTAAAGCAATTCATACCTTTATTCCTAAGTAATTTCTATTTAACCTAATAATTTTCTGTGATATTACTCATGAGTGGCCATCTTTTTAGCTTCAAGAAATGGCTTTTAATCTTAATACCTCTCCTGGTTGGTGACACAGCTCCACCTGAGCCCTGTCCACATGAGAGGGAGTGACAGCAGCCACATCATGACACACCAGCACTCCTGGCATCTCAGTCCTCTTGTGTACTGATGCTATCAGGGACCTTACTTGCCTAGAGAGAACTAAATATGCTAATTTGAGGGATAAGAAGACAATCTGTAAGATCTGCCAAGGCCTACCAGTTTAACTAACACCAACCTGTCAGCAGCATTTTATCAGGCTGATAAGGGAAACTCTTGCTTTTAGGTCTGGCCAGTCACAGAGTGGAAATGACACCCACAGGGATTAGGGACAAAGCACACAGATGGATATGAAACATAACAGTTTGTTGAGACAGGAGAGTTGGGATGAAAGAAAGTGAAAAACATGTACCTGTCCCCTTTCCAACCAAACTCATGTCTTGCAAGTAAATCTCTTTTAAAAAAATCTGTCTGTTTTCTCATTATGTTTCAGAAATATTATCATTAAAAGTACAAGCTATTCTCTTATAATCAGGGTTAATAAACTTAACTAGAGGTTTTCATTGGGAGAAATTAAGGCAAGTCCCATAAATACAAGGAGCACAGGGTTTCAGTCTTCCAAAGATGTCTTCACATGAACAGGTTAACATAATGAAACCCTCCTCTACTTCTTGTCTGCAGGGGGATTTGGATCAAGAGGAGTTCACGTAAAGGAATTTCTAAGAGTTCTCAAATACCTACACGACTGAAGGGCGGTTGACAAATGTTATCAACCAACTCAGAAACAAATCTTACGGAAAATGGGAAACATAGTATTTCTTGAAGATTCCTTCCTATGCGCATGGCAAATGTATTCGGAATGTTTTTAGTTAAACCTTCCCTTCAAGGATATCAGCTCAAGGTTTACACAAGGATAAGGTTTATGTGGAGTTGTGATGGATGCACTGTTAGGTATTCATGAACATTCTGGAGGAACCTGAAGTTTTTAAGAGAACTCTTTGTGGGAACAGTAGAGTTGCCTCTGGCATATTCTGAAACTTCCAGACACACAGGTAAATGACAGAGCAATGACTGGCTCTGAAACCATGGCTCCTTATGGAACTCCTCCTTGGTATATCTTGGAAGTGTCTAGAACTTAGAATACTGGGGTGTCTGGAGGCTTCAGCTACTTCCTGCTGCCAGAGGTGGAGTCTAGCCTGAGAGATGCATGGCCCCTTGTTTCACGGCTCACACAGACAAGCTACAGGAGAGCCAGCATTCCTTGACAGAAAGCTGTTATGAAAAGGAGATCATTTCCAGGTTAATGTGATGCCTGAAGATGTCAACCTTGGTGGTCAGGATCATTAATTAGCTCTCCTCATTAACACAAAAGTAGACATCATAGTTGTAAACAGACGTGTCCACCTGAGGAGGCCATGCTGGCTCTCTTTTCTAGCTTCCTTTTCTCTCTCCTTCCAATTTGAAGCCTCCTGTCTGCAGGCTCCTAGTTTTAGGATCACTCTTTGGCTCGCAATGCCAGACTGCTCTACAATAGAATATGGGATTCCCTTTTATTTTTTACCTTTCTTATCTTCTGCCTTTTCCTCCCGAGGTGGTTTTTTGTCACACACAGAGACATTCCCTTCTTCGGGTTTCCCTACATTCTCCTCTTGGGTAGGCTCCTCTCCGATGTGTATCATGTGCCCGTTTGAATTTTCAAAGTTAACTGTTACATCTCCATCTAAAATCGGAAAGAAACACCTCGGTGTCTAACTTGATGGCTTCCTTTAAAACTCATTTCCCCATTTACTAGGGCTGCAGGATCTGGGTTCATGTTTCTGTCCCTGGGGACCAAATCACCATGTTTTCCTAACAAATTTCTTTGAGAGGAAAGAGGTGGAAAACCCTTGGTCTCAAGGGAAAGCAACAGTAGAGGGAGAGTCCTGAGCTAGGAAGACATCAGGCAGGGCCACCCTAATCACCCAGTGCCCTAGGTCAGCAGAGCTCCTCTGTCCTTGTGTTTAGGTTTGGTTGAAGTAAACGCTTAGGTGTTTCTTTTGCATCCAGAAACTGAATGAAGTAATGATCTGGAAAATGGAACAAACATTGTAACATGTCAAACCACAAGGTGAATGCAAATATACAAATAACATGAAATGTACTTACACATGCAGACAGTAAGCCGGGGTGGTGATGGAAGATTTCCAGGCACAAGCACCTGCTGAGCATGTTAGACAATGTGCACACTCCACACAGCTGTGTAACTGTTAGCATGTTAGACAATGTGCACACTCCACACAGCTGTGCAATTGTGAGCATGTTAGAAAATGTGCACACTCCACACAGCTGTGTAACTGTTAGCATGTTAGAAAATGTCCACACTCCACACAGCTGTGTAATTGTGAGCATGTTAGAAAATGTGCACACTCCACACAGCTGTGTAACTGTTAGCATGTTAGAAAATGTCCACACTCCACACAGCTGTGTAATTGTTAACATGTGAGACTATGTCCACACTCTACACAATAATGTAGCTGGGTGCATGTTAAGACTATGTTCACACTCCACCCAGCAGTGTAACTGTTAGCATGTTAAACAATGTCCACACTCCACACAGCTGTGTAAATGTGAGCATGTTAGACTATGTCCATATTCTATACAGTAATGTAACTGGGAGCATGTTAGAAAATGTCCACACTCCACACATCTGTGTAATTGTTAGCATGTTAGACTATGCCCATTCCCCACACAGCTGTGTAATTGTTAGCATGTTAGTCTATGTCCATACTCTACACAGTAATGTAGCTGGGAGCATGTTAGACTATGTTCACACTCCACACAGCAGTGTCACTGTTAGCATGTTAGAAAATGTCCACACTCCACACAGCTGTGTAAATGTGAGCATGTTAGACTATGTCCAAACTCTGTACAGTAATGTAACTGGGAGCATGTTAGACTATGTCCACACTCCACACAGCTGTGTAACTGTTAGCATGTTAGACAATGTCCACACTCCACACAGCTGTGTAACTGTTAGCATGTTAGACTATGTCCACACTCTACACAGTAATGTAGCTGGGTGCATGTTAGACTATGTTCACACTCCACACAGCAGTGTCACTGTTAGCATGTTAGAAAATGTCCACACTCCACACAGCTGTGTAAATGTGAGCATGTTAGACTATGTCCAAACTCTATACAGTAATGTAACTGGGAGCATGTTAGACTATGTCCACACTCCACACAGCTGTGTAACTGTTAGCATGTTAGACAATGTCCACACTCCACACAGCTGTGTAACTGTTAGCATGTTAAAAAATGTCCACACTCCACACAGCTTTGTAATTGTTAGCATGTTAGACTATGCCCATTCTCCACACAGCTGTGTAATTGTTAGCATGTTAGACTATGTACATACTCTACACAGTAATGTAGCTGGGAGCATGTTAGACTATGTCCACACTCCACACAGCAGTGTAATTGTTAGCATGTTTGACTAAGTACACAATCCACACAGCAGTGTCACTGTTAGCATGTTAGAAAATGTCCACACTCCACACAGCTGTGTAAATGTGAGCATGTTAGACTATGTCCAAACTCTATACAGTAATGTAACTGGGAGCATGTTAGACTATGTACATACTCTACACAGTAATGTAGCTGGGAGCATGTTAGACTATGTCCGTACTCCACATAGCTGTGTAATTGTTAGCATGTTAGACTATGTCCACACTCCATACAGCTGTGTAACTGTTAGCATGTTAGACTATGTTCGCACTCCACACAGCTGTGTAACTGTTAACATGTTAGACTATGTCCATATTCTATACAGTAATGTAACTGGGAGCATGTTAGACTAAGTCCACACTCCACACAGCAGTGTAACTATTAGCATGTTAGACAATGTCCTCACTCCACACAGCTGTGTAATTGTTAGCATGTTAGACAGTGTCCACACTCTACACAGTAATGTAGCTGGGTGCATGTTAAGACTATGTTCACACTCCACCCAGCAGTGTAACTGTTAGCATGTTAAACAATGTCCACACTCCACACAGCTGTGTAAATGTGAGCATGTTAGACTATGTCCATATTCTATACAGTAATGTAACTGGGAGCATGTTAGACTATGTCCACACTCCACATATCTGTGTAATTGTTAGCATGTTAGACTATGTCCATACTCCACACAGCTGTGTAATTGTTAGCTGTTAGTCTATGTCCATACTCTATACAGTAATGTAGCTGGGAGCATGTTAGACTATGTCCACACTCCACACAGCTGCGTCACTGTTAGCATGTTAAAAATGTCCACACTCCACACAGCTGTGTAAATGTGAGCATGTTAGACTATGTCCAAACTCTGTACAGTAATGTAACTGGGAGCATGTTAGACTATGTCCATACTCTATACAGTAATGTAACTGGGAGCATGTTAGACAATGTCCACACTCCACACAGCTTTGTAATTGTTAGCATGTTAGACAGTGTCTACACTCCACACGGCTGTGTAATTGTTAGCATGTTAGAAAATGTCCACACTCCACAAGCTGTGTAATTGCTAGCATGTTAGAAAATGTCCACACTCCACACAGCTGTGTAATTGTTAACATGTTAGACAGTGTCCACACTCCACACAGCTTTGTACTGTTAGCATGTTAGAAAATGTCCACACTCCACACAGCTGTGTAATTGTTAGCATGTTAGACAGTGTCCACACTCCACACAGCTGTGTAAATGTGAGCATGTTAGACTATGTCCACACTCCACACAGCAGTGTAACTGTTAGAATGTTAGAAAATGTCCACACTCCACATAGCTCTGTAATTGCTAGCATGTTAGAAAATGTCCACACTCCACACAGCTGTGTAATTGTTAGCATGTTAGACAGTGTCCACACTCCACACAGCTGTGTAATTGTTAGCATGTTAGACAGTGTCCACACTCCACACAGCTGTGTAATTGTTAGCATGTTAGAAAATGTCCACACTCCACACAGCTGTGTAATTGTTAGCATGTTAGAAAATGTCCACACTCCACACAGCTTTGTAATTGTTAGCATGTTAGACTATGCCCATTCTCCACACAGCTGTGTAATTGTTAGCATGTTAGACTATGTACATACTCTACACAGTAATGTAGCTGGGTGCATGTTAGACTATGTTCACACTCCACACAGCAGTGTAATTGTTAGCATGTTAGAAAATGTCCACACTCCACACAGCTGTGTAAATGTGAGCATGTTAGACTATGTCCAAACTCTATACAGTAATGTAACTGGGAGCATGTTAGACTATGTCCACACTCCACACAGCTGTGTAACTGTTAGCATGTTAGACAATGTCCACACTCCACACAGCTGTGTAACTGTTAGCATGTTAGAAAATGTCCACACTCCACACAGCTTTGTAATTGTTAGCATGTTAGACTATGCCCATTCTCCACACAGCTGTGTAATTGTTAGCATGTTAGACTATGTACATACTCTACACAGTAATGTAGCTGGGAGCATGTTAGACTATGTCCACACTCCACACAGCAGTGTAATTGTTAGCATGTTAGACTAAGTACACAATCCACACAGCTGTGTCACTGTTAGCATGTTAGACTATGTCCACACTCCACACAGCAGTGTAATTGTTAGCATGTTAGACTATGTTCACACTCCACACAGCAGTGTAATTGTTAGCATATTAGATTATGTCCATATTCTATACAGCAATTAAGTGATACTTTGTTCAGGGAAAAGATTGTTTTAAGACTAATCTCATTTTTTCTTCATTATGGGAAGAATAAAAGCTAACTATTAAAAAAACATGAAAAAAGCCAGTTAAAGAAGAATTTTAAAAATTTACTGCTTAAAGTAGAATTCCTCACATATTCTAAACCATAAAGACTAATTTTAACTCCTGGACTGTTGTAAGTCCTGAAGGTGTTTAAAATTCAAGGGATTTTCAGAATTCAGTCGTGCTTGGGAGGATTATCCCAGTAATTATTCCCACACATGGAAACATATAAAAGGCTCTGCTAACACCATAAGAGAAAAGTTAAGGAACCAAAGTTTTGACTTAAACTAATTTGAAGAAATGTATTAACAGAGTTGTTTCTATGGAGTTTTTAAAATTAATTTCTTGGCAATCATTATAAACTAGAGATCATAGCAGGGCAGTGGTAGTTCGCTTAAACCTTTAATCCCAGCACTTGGGAGGCAGAGACAGGTTAATCTCTAAATTTGAAGCCAGCCTGGTCTACAGAATGAATTCCAGGACAGCCAGAGCAACACAGAAAAGCCCTGTCTTGAAAAAAAAAATAATTTCAAATTTTAACAGAATTTCTTCATAAAATTCACAGGCCTTTTTGTCAAAAATACCATGACATTTCCATAGCTAAAATATGGAATTATGCCATATTGGAAATGGAGATGGATTTGACATGGAGTCCTGTAGTTCCTACAGACCTATATTCTGATTCTTGTAGAAAAGTAAACAGGCCATTGCAAATGAATCATCACAATTTCAGTAATATTAGGTAAAACTTATTGGATTTTAAGCAATTAGTTTTAAAAGGGGGGAGCGTCAAACACACTAGTAAAATAAAAGTAATATAAAACAAAACTGAAAAAAAATAAAATACCACTTCTGTACACATAAATCCTTACTTTTAAAGGAATTCAAATAAAGGTTTGCTTTGTGGTTTCTGACTATAGTTAGTAAAATCCTAAAGTCATATCAACAATAATTTAGTGCTATTTTGTGATCATATTTTTATCAGGTTAAATAACTCATTTTTAACACACTAGAAAACAACTATAGAGAACTTGAATATTACCACAATAGTATGCATGACCAATAAAACAAAAAAGTCATGGGGAAAGGGGAAAGGTACTTACACTGAGTCGTGAAATAAAAATACTGCATATAAGAGCAATGGTAGAAAAAAAGACCATTTGTAGGAAATAGGAAGTTCATGAAACCAACTGAAGATATTAAGGTGAGTGGCATCTATATCTTGAAAGCTTTCCTAGAAATCTGTTAAAAAAGTTTTCTCAGAATTAAAATAAACTCAATCCCTGGTATAGGAAGCTATGCAAGCAAAACATGAGCCCAGTGAGAGAAGATGGTGCTGAATCAGGCCTAGGCTATAGGGACAGGTGACAAACCCTGGAAGAGTCTGTGGCTCACAAAATCACATTCAGTTCCAAGGAAATGCAGGAGAACCATTACACCGAGAAGATCACAGGTGACAAAAAAAAAAAAAAAAAAAAAAAAAAAAAAAAAAAGTGATTCTTCAGGAGGCAGAAGCAAATTACAAGATATGGAAATCAGAAGCAGGTAAGACACTTGGGTGACCATGACCTCATGTTACAGACTCATGAGGGTATAGGCAAAGAAGTCAGTGAGGATTGCACGTGGACTGGAAGCCTTGTGAGGGCTTCTCCAGGGGAAAGGTCATTTGGTGAACTTTTAGATCGAAGTTAAGCTTGATGTGAAAAACACAATCTGGAAGGAGCAATAATCATAGTCGAGATAGAGGTTACAGGGCACGGTGGGGTGAGGTCGCAGCCATGGAGGCTGGAGGGACCCGAGAGGTCTATTTGGTCCACGCTCATCACACTAACATGCCCTGTCAGGAGTTTCATGGATGTCAAGAAGACAGAGGCCACCCGTGCATCTTCACTGATGGAAAGAGACTCTCACAAAACAACAGCCGCATTCAGTCTCTCAGACAGGGATCCTCAAGGGGGAGGGAGGGAAGGAAATAGAATACTACTTTCTCTAGCCCTCGGCTGGAAACTGGGAGATCTCCAATGGGCATCATCGGGGCACTTTCCACCATTAGTAATTCTGGTCTTCTAGAGGAAAAGTGTGCCAAAGCACAAAGTAAAATTCAACCAACTAGTAGCCTCCACTGATACTTCTGAGTTAGGAAACACATCTGGCCAGTAAGCTCGACCCAATAACAGGTTTTAATCACAATTCTCACCTTTTCTTTTTAATGAGATTTTATTTTTTTTTGTAGTTGTGCGCATGTGTGTACTTGTCTACATGCAGGTATATGCATGTGCATAAAGGTCCCTCAGAAACCAGGAGAAGGTGTTAGATTCCCTGGAGATGAGATTGCAGACAGCTTGGAGTCTTTAATGTGGGTGCTGGAAACTGAATTCATATCCTCTGCAAGAGCAGTAAGCACTCTTAAGTGACGAGCAATCCTCCAGCTCCCTTTTCCTCTCTTGAAAACATTTTCAAAAACGGGACACTGAACAAATGAATGGGTCACTCCACAAAGCTGATTGCAAAGGCGTCAGCTGTGCAATTTCTCTGGTGAGAGATGGACCTGGATACTGTATTCCTACCTCTTGAATGCCTACCCCGGCATGCCTACATCTTTGCCTCCTACATGTCTACCTTCTACAGTCTACCTCCTACATGCATACTTTCTATATGCCTAGCTACTGAGTGCCTACCTTCTACATGTCTACCTTTTGCATGCCTACCTACTGCTTGCCTACCTTCTACATGTCTACCTTTTGCATGCCTACCTACTGCATGCCTACTTCCTGAAAGCCTGCCTCCTGCTAGGAAGGGGAAGTGTGAGCATTTTCCATGTTTAAAGCTCTGAGGCAGGAAACAAATAACTTCAAGGAAATAGCATATTGAAAAATACAAAAAGGTCATTAACAAAGATGCGTGGGAAAAATTTGACAAGTCAGAAATTGAAGGAAAATTTCTAAAATTGTGATGGCTTGCTCAATCAAAGTAGTATTATTCCATTCAGGTTTTCCTCACTCCTGAAGCAGCCATGCATTTCCTAGCTACACATTTGGGATTGTTCTGTTATTGGAAAAAAAAAAAACATGACATTTCAACTAATATACAATGTATGCCTCCAAATTAGGTATTCTTTATAAGGAACATCTCACACACACACACACACACACACACACACACACACACACACACACACACACAGAGAGAGAGAGGGGGGGGAGGGAGGTATCATTATTTAAATTCCAAATCAACAAGGTGCAAGGCAATAGGATTCAGAGAAGCGAAAGATGGGCAGAGTACTTGGGAGAAAGCATAAGGCAGATTAAGCTGCCCACTCATGCTTTGTTGATTTGCGAACATGAGTGAGTATTTCAGACAACGTGAGGGACATGGCTCAAGGCTGCTGTTATCTCTGTTATTGCTAGCGTTTGGGAAGAAGTAAGGCGCGGACAAACTAAAACTGAACTCCCTCAAACAATTGAGTTCAACTCGATTAGAAGAGTAAAGCTTGAGGTCTAAGAGGGAAGGAGCCAGGCAAGCATCGTGTCCTGTATCTCTAGCTACCAGTGCAACAGCTTGAAGAGCAGAGTTTAAAGCAACCTATCGAGAAGAACTGACTAGAAAAGTCACTGGCTGGATTTCTTTTTCATAACACCTTAGCCTCTTGGCCACCCAGAGAGACATTCCAGGTCGAAGCAAGATTCTTGGCGTGCACTACTGGCTGTTTTATCTGACAGTGACCATGGCCACTTTACATTCCAAAAGAAAATCAAAGAGCAAAAAATGAAGAATCCAATCAGCTTAAACGTAAGACAAATTTCCTCACCTTGATCAGGCAGTTCTTTAAGCAGGCCCTTTTTTATCAGCTCCTCTCTGCTCTGTCTGGTGGATATCTTCCTCTCTAGAACTTAAAAAAGAAGAAGCATAAGTAAGAATCAAGTCACTGATTAGCACAATTATGAACACTATTCAAAGTACTTAAGCACATTTATTCTGCCTATATGAAGGCTCAAAGCCCCATTTGTTTCTATGCCCAGCGAGGAGACTTGTCTGGAGTCCAGACAACACAGCGAGAACACGAGAAGCCCATGCATGACTGAGGCCCAACCAATGTACTCGGCCAAGATGGTCATGTCTGAAAAGCAATCCAGACATTTTACTGCATACCAGCTACGGAGCCCAGAGCTCACTTAACGTCTTTTCTTGGATAATGCTGCTTTCTGAAACGCATGCCGACAGAGGCATTTGGAGTGTGCAACTGGAGATAGTCATATGAAGTGATTTCAACCTGTGTTTTCTGCATATACGATTCCCATTCCTGACTTTATTCGTGTACATAGACCATGTGTGTATATGACATGGAGGTAGAGGGAGGCTGAGCAAGGGGGAAGGGAACTAATGGGAAGAGGGATGGGTGTGAAAGGAGATGGTATAGAGCATGAGAAGAATATATCTCAAGTACAATTTAGATGTGACAATATCCTTATATAATGTAGTATACCATTTATGATGAATACACACAAGAAAAAGAAGAGAAGAAAAGTATAAATGCTGAAAATCCTCTGTGGACTCTCAGAAGGTCTAGAGTTAGTTCTTTTCAAAGGCCTTAAAATTACATCAATCAGTTCTCTAATTTAAGAATGCATATGTGTATAAACCACTACACATGCCATGCATGTATGTGTAGAGGACCAGGGACACATTTTTGAAGTCAGTTCTGCCTTATGGGTTGAAGGAATTCAACTCAGACTATCATGTGTGGTGGCAGGAGTCTTTACCAGCTAAGCCATCTCACCATCCCTAAATTAGTTGTTTTTTTTTCATTAATTCAAATTTGATTTTTTAGTAATGTTTATTTTATGTGTACAGATGTCTTGTTTGCACATTTGTGTCTATGCACTATCTGCATATATGGCCCCTGAGGAGCCAGAAGAAGGTGTTGGCTCCCCTGGGACTGGAGTTATAGACAGCTGTAAGTTACCACGTGAGTCTGGGGAATTGAACCCGGGTCCTCTGGAAGAGCAGTAATGCTCTAGACCCCTGAGACATCTCTCTAGCACCCCTGAATTAGTTCTTAATGCTGAAAATTCTACACAAACAAACACGACATAAAACAAAAAGCCTCCAAATCTGAAACAACCCACAAAGTTCCTGTAAGCATTTTATCTGAATCCCGGTAAGAAGGGATAATGTTTAGTGGCTTTTTTGCTTGTTTCTCTTGTTTCTGTGGGTTTTGTTTTCTCTTTCACACCAGCAACTCAAACGTTCAACACGATAGACCTCTGTAGCGTTTTGTTTCCCCAGCCATATCCTCTAGAGGTTCTGGTATAACCCTTAACAAACCTTAGGGAGGGCGAAGAAGGGGATTAAGAATGGCAGCTTTTCGAGGCAAGTCAGGGGAAGAGAATCTCTACATGGATTCCTTCTCCTGATATAATTTAGGATGGACCTTCAGAGCTGAAGGCACAACCTCAGTGGCATTAACCCTGCATATCTGAATCCTAGTACATCACCAGCTTCACCTCCCACTTGAGGGCCCAGCAGGTATAGGAGGATGAACAGTTGACACTGGGCTTGGTGAAGTACATGGAAGTCTTCTATAAGTGACTACTGAAGGCCAGAGCTTTCGGGACAGCAGCGCTTAGTCTCTTTTGAGGAATCTCCTTTCCCGATAACCAGGAAATGTGTGTCTCTACACATACATGCATGCATGCATACATACATACATACATACAAACAATGTCCTGGTTACTAGAAAGTCAGAGTGAAACTTGATACTTAACACACACCGTACGTGACATTACACATTTTCTCCTTTTGCACAACCTGAACTCAGCTTCATTTCATGCACAGCATTTGCGTTCTTGGTTGTAAGTTGTCGGATATGCTTTTGGAATCGGTATATAAACGAAAAAGGAAAAATGAAGGAATGAATAAATGGTTAAAAAAAAAAAAAAAAGATGACAATGAACTCCTTATCAGTTTTCGTGGAGACACACCTACCTACCTTCCCTCCTCCAGCCCTGTTTTCCACTATCTCTTCTAGAAACTAGTATCTACAGCTCACAGAAAGATTCGGCAATTTCAGTGAACCAACTCACCTAAGTGTGGCACAGGTGAGTTCTTCTCTGGGAGTTCATGAAAGAGTGCTGTTGCTTATGTGTGCTGCCAATGCGTTTAGACTCCCATGGAGGGAGGAAACAGATCAGTGACTAGCACCCCCAAGACCACTGCATTTACCAGGGCCCAGATTTTTCACACTCAAGCCACCCCAACTTGACGCTAATCCAGAACGCAGTCACTTCCACCCTCTTATCCTCGCCCACCCCTTGCTAATATAAAACAGAACTTTCAGTGACTACCACTGCTACCTGAAATCTCACACGACTTTCAGGTGTCCTGGGTGTTGGTCCCAGAACACTGGCAACAAGTCAAATGATGTTGAGTGGCCTACATCGAGTTTTGTGCTTCTAATCTACGATCTACCGAATGAGGGACACGACTCGGCGGTCACTAAATCAAATACTGTGGGATTCGGTGTCAACAGTGAAGCCCACTCCAAAATCCTTGCTTTGGATGCCTTTAAAAACTTTCATTCTTCACTACATTTTTTTTCTTTCTCCATCTGAGAGACTGATACTCACATTTCTGCTTTCCAACTGTGGATCCTAGTCCTCTCTTTAGTCCAAGTTTTGAGTTTTTGTTGGTTTAATTCTAACTTAAACCTTGGCTTAAACAAGTCACTCTTTTTCCTCCTTGTGTACCAGAAATTCTTGCCATTTCTTCCGTGAACTCTATGAAGCTCTGTGCCAGCTCCCACCAGCAATCAGACCAACGGTTTCCTCTACCTCATAAACGGGCCCTGATGGGAAAATACCATTAGCTGTTTGCTCGGTCTTTGGCTGAGGGCATTTTTAACACATAATGTAGATAACTGTGTGAGGGCCAACGTGGACAGACTTCAGGCTGCTGGGTATGGAAGGTATGCTGTTGGGCACAAAATTCCAACCCCTGCTCTCCCTGAGGTACAAGAATCTTATTCTTCCCCTTTTCAAATATTTGCCTTGTGTTTATACAGTGTCTGTGTGTTTGCGGAGCAGATTCACTGGACGCTTTTCATGGGCTCTGAGGAGTTTTGCATTGGAACAGACTGGAGAGGTCATTTTAGTTCAATGTGCCACATAGAGCAGGAGCATCATGGGAATGTTCTTGATGCTGGCTCATCTGCTTTTCAACCATCTTAGGCAAAAATAAATGCCTCTGAGGCCTACCTCAACTACCCACGAGCCTTGTGTATGGGGGACATTTCCCAGGTAGCCCCTAGATCTGTCTCCTATGACTTCTGCACATGGATCAAACCCAAGCTCTAGCTGTCAGTGGACCATAGGAGCCATGTGCGAGGAGAAAGCTTTCAGGTTCTGTTCCCCTGTGCTCAGCTGGAGAGACTAATGAAGTCACCTGGGGTCTGATTCCCAGCACCACAACAGTGACTTTGTGACTGACGACCACACTGATCTGTACAAAACATTAAATATGACATGTGTGTGTGTGGGGGGGGGTTGTTATACCCCACAGCTATATGGTAACCCCAATATTGCCAGGAGATAAGGGACATAGCACATTGGACACAGTTCCCAAGTCTCCATGAAAAGCACTATTACCAGTTAACTAATGGGCCATGAATGTTCTCTTTCATCCTGGTTGCAAGAGCACAAATGGTTCACATGCCAAGATCAAACAAATACACGAGGTCTGTGTAACTTTCTGCACCGGGTGAATGAATATTTTGACATTTCAATCCCGATGACAGCGGCACACGTTCCAATTCTCTCTAGGAGAGTGGTTTTCCTGATTTCTTGTTTCTACTCTTATTTTCAACGGATCCGTTCCTTGAAACACCAAATGGCTTCTCACCTCTCTTTGGATATCTCAGTTCCCTAGCAAGGGGCCTCTACAGCAACCCTGTGAGCGTCCTCGCCCCCTTCCAACTACTCTTTGCTGCCTCTCTGACACAGACCACCACACCCCAGAGAATACTCCACGCAGCAGCTTGTCTTCATCAGGGTACCGTTCCCTAGCTTGGTGTACTCCATCATGGCCTTCATGCTCTGGTCAAGGGTCATTTCGCCAGAAGTCCCTTGGGAAGAGCTTGCCCTTTCTCATCCTCTCTTCCAAAACCAAACTGCCGTGCTCAATGCTGTGTTCCCAACAGTAACACAGTGGTTACAATGACTCCACACACACACACACACACACACACACACACACACACACACACTGTTGGAAATATGATTTCAAGAGAAAATAGCCTTGTCCTGGTTCTAGTCTTGTTTTCTGCCCATTCCTATTTTCCAGTCCAGGAGAAAGCAAGTGAGGTTCATAGCACAGACTCAAGGGACAAGGGTGCTCTGTCTCCTCTCGCCTTTACACTTTGGCTTGGCCAGGCTAAGGGCGGGAGGGGGAGGTGAGTTTTCCACTTTAGTCCTATGGATCATGTGAAACAAGGCTCTGTATGCAGCAGAGAAAGGAGCCACAGTATGTGGACAGGCACCGGCAGCTAGCAGGGTGGAGCACAGGACTGGCTGCATTCCTCATACATTCTACATGATTTATGGTGTTCTTCTGGGCACGAAGTGACAGCCACGGAGCCGGCATTCAAGTGCAGCCAGAACATATGCCACCAGCTTCTTTCAGTGGAGAGTTGGCCGGGATCTCCTGTTACTTGGGAAGTATTTGGGAGAGTCAATCGTATGGTCAACAAGACACTTGTGTTTTTACTTGGCAAGGAAAGAGACTCCTAATTCTCGATTCTAACACCGTCTAATGACTGAACAAAATCGAAGAGCAAACAGGAGACTCCAATAAGCGTGCCTTGTTATCTTCTAGGTCCTGAGTCATGAATGGGCT